TATAAACCACCAAAAAATAGAGAAGATGTTAGGATTTAGGTCATAAAATAATGTAATTTATTATTATCTAAGAAAACCAAATCAATATACTTACACACAAAATTCATAAATATAAATAATTTATGGAGGATTGGAGTTTATCAATATTTAGTATAATATCAATTATTCTCGGAACAATTTGTTGTTTGATTTGCAACATTAATTTGAATGGAAAAAAATCCATAATTGTTGGGATATCTCAATCAAAAATTTCAATTTTTGCCATAAAAATCTCCAAATTTATTACCTATAAAAATGAGATTCGTATTTATGAAATGAATTAAATTTTGGCATAAAAATCTCCAAATTTGTTACCTTAAGAATCTCAATTTTTTTTTTGAGATATCTCATTTAAGTTTATTTCCTATAGAAAATAAGTTGTTTTAATCAAATAAGTCAAATATTATTTCAATTAAAGAATATAAACCACCAAAAAATAGAAAAGAAGGTAGGATTTAGGACCTAAAATAATGTAATTTAGTATTATTTAGGAAAAAAAATCAATATATTTACACACAAAATTCATAAATATAAATAATTTATAGAGGATTGAAGTTTATCAATATTTAATACAACATCACTTATTCTCGGAACAATTTTTTGTTTGATTTGATACATTAATTTGAATGGAAAAAAATTTCGTAATTGTTGTTATATCTCAATTCAAAATTTTAATTTTTTAGCATAAGAATCTCCAAATTTGTTTCCAATAAAAATGAGATTTGTATTTATGAAATGAATTAAATTTTGGCATAAGAATCTCCAAATTTGTTACCTTAATAATATTCAAATTTGTTACCTTAAGAATCTCCACATTTTTTGGGATATCTCCCTTAAATGTGATTTCTAAAGATTCACATGTGCTTTTTTCAAAATTTCTACTAAAAGTAAGTCAACACTTTATTTTTAAAGTCAAAGTTACTATTTTTGTATTTTTCCAACAACCTCTTTATATTACTATAGATATCTTAGTGGGTTCCGTATATGCTTTGAAAGGTGATTTTGATAGTTACCAAAACAAAAGATGAGTTAGTGATGGCTGATGCTATCAATATCTTATGCAAGGAATTGTATAATAAAATTTAGGACAAAATGTGTAATTATATATATATAATTGTGGGCCCACACACAAATTTACTCGCACGGCATATCGTTATTTATTACCAAAATTAAGTGCAAAAAATCTTGGAACAATATAGTGTGTTTTAGGTAGCTATAGAAGCGGACGCAAACATATGAATTATGATATGTTAAAATTTAAAACACTATGCAAATATTCAATTAAATTTTGTATTTCTCTTAATTCCATCTCTTATTACTTTGTCGCTACACATTACATTCACTTAATTCAAATTAGAATTAGTTAATATTCAAATTAGAGTTCGAACCTTAACGAGTCGAACCAATACTTCTTTTATTCGTTTAATTACTTCTTTACATCCACTATATAAAATTAGTTAATTATTCATATGGAAAGTTATAATCATGAATATTGCTGTTATAGAAAAAATTGCAGCCGCATGTTTACGTGTAGTCACGAACGCACGGAATATACGCTAATGACAATAGGCTTAATGCATTATCTATATATTCTCTGTGTGCTGATAAAGATATTTAAAAGAAAAAGAAATATTAGAAAAACTAAAAAAAGCTGATATGGATTTTGGAATGTTTTAATGTGTTAGCTGAGGATGCCAGATTCCAAGCACCTGCTGATGGTAGATTTGATACCAATTACTAGTAAGTTAGTGGGAGAATGATGTCAAAACTACAATATTAAAAACCAACACCTCATAAATCAAAGACAGTTCAAAAAATCAACACTTCATAAATCAAAGTCTCAATTTAAATAGTTCTCAATAATTCTCTTGAAGATCTAAATGTGTTCTTGAAGATCCACGACATTAAGTAAAAATCCAAAAAGAGAAGAATTAGATGATTCCATATAGAGATTGTACCCGCATATCGTTTGATCAATATATATTCAAATTGTACAAAATTTTATGTTTTTTCATAAAATTTGGTGTCATATAGACTTTCTTTGACAATTAGTTGATTGATGATTGCAGATTAAAGATAACAGATAGCGAATTGTATTAGCTGATTTGATTTGACTAACAGATTCGATTTGCGTTTTATTGTAAATAGGCAAAATTTATAAGTGTCACGTTGTANGTTCTGAGTCCAAAAATCAAATCAAATAAACTTGTTATCAAATAAACTAATTAGCATATTTGATATGTTAATTTATATGATCAGTTAAGCTTTAATTAAATGAAATAAAGATGAAGGTTAAGATTGTAGTTTATTATTAATTAAGGTAGGAGATGAACCACGTCATGTACTCAAATGCGAGTTTCCAAGTCGAGCAATCACTAGTTTTTGTCTAGACAATATCAACAACGTTGTCTTCTAAAGCCATATCCAATCAATGAGACCCACAAGAAAGATGTTTTCATGCAATATTGGCCATTAGATTAAAAATTGAAAAGAGTTCTTTTAGAAGAAGTGAAATAGATTTTGAATTAGGAATGCATATAAAATAAAAATATTAACACGATGTGATATAAAGATAAAATACTAATAATTGATAAATAGTCACTGATCGTTCTAAACATGTGATGAGGTGAACAGTATGTTTTGTGGAAATTATATAATAATAGTTATTTTTTTAGTTGTGCTAGTTAGTGTTAAAATATCAACACCTCCTTTTGGGAAGGACTTGGAAGCATCTAGAACAATCTGGAAAAATGTGGAACGTCGTGGAACATTGTGGAAGGTTCTGGAAGCATCTAGAATGACCTGGAAAAATGTGGAATGTTCCGGAATATTGTAGAAGGATCTAGAAGCATGCGGAACATTTGAGAGTAATGTGAAGTCTTCTAGAGCTTCCCAAATATTGTAGAGAATTGTAGTAAGGTTATGTGTGTAGGAGTTTCGTAGAAGTATCTAGAATACCCAAGACATTAGATGTTCTAGAGAATTCCTTTAGAGGAGGTGGTGGCTATAAATAGAGGAGACCACCTCATTTGGAATGTATCCTAATATTCCAAGCATCATCCAAGCATCCAAGAGTCTAAGTAAAAAAGTGAGTGAGTGTCATAGCTTTGGTCTTGATAAGTGAAATATTGTATATTGGTCGTGTAATTACTTTGTTAATATAATAAAGTAATTACGTTAGTGTCCACGTGTTGTGAGTGTACCCAACTTAACAGTTAGATCTATAGTATTAAGGGGATGATATAAATAACATTTTGTAATTTTTTTTATTTTTTTTCCAATCACTTTCTTTGTTTAGTTTTTTATATGAATTAAAGTAGCTAGTCATGTTAAAAAAGTTACGGAACTCAATGAATCTGAAATATGAGATAAATATTTAAATATCAAATATTTACACCGAATGAATTAGGGATGAGGCTTCATATATTGGTCTCTGCTGTAGTGTTTCAGTGTTTGAATATATATAATTGTGAGTTTCCAAAACCTCATGCAATGAGCAAAACGTCGTTGAATTCTTGTAAACCTTGTTAGTATTTTGTGATAGGAATAAATCAGAATGATTACTGCAATTTAATTCCAAAATATTTTGTAGTAATAAATAAGATAATAGTAATTTGTGTGGAATCACAAACACTATATTGAACACAATTTATTTTGAATGTAGTTATTCCTTCGATCTATAAGATCTCAAACCAAACATGATATAAAAACATATTGAATATTAAATTCTACTCAAAACGAGATCAAGATGGAGTATGAAAGAAATTTTGGTTTTGAGTTTGTATTTTTTTAGGATATACATGCAAATCTATTATAGTATGATGTATCGACCTGTTGACAACTGTCTAACATAATAATTTGTGATTAACAATAAATTGTATAGTGTAACTATTTAAGAGATTCCATTTCAATGGGTAAATAGATTGTGGTAACTAACCATATAATATCCACACCATTACTCTAGCTAGTTATCCAAACTTTTAGTTTATTTTTCTTTCTCTTTTGGAATTTTTGTGACTCGAGTAAAACAAAACTACCATTGTTATGAAAATCTAAGAAATGAGCAAGAAAGTGGATGAAAATGTAGCCAATTTAAAGATTTTAGTGGATAAGAACAAGAATATTGAGGGTGATTCACAAGTCACACAAACACTAGCTCAAACACAAAGTATATATGGTCATAATTGATTAAAGAGAGTAAATGATGCAATGTGGTTAAATGTTTCTCTATGGATTTTCTTTTTCTTCCTATATTGAGGACCAATCATGAAACACACACCACCATTTTCATAAGCTTTGAGTTGATGTGTTTTAGTGGTGGCAATTGTCTTCTTCACCTAATAAAATTGATAAAAAAAGGAAAGTCTTCATATCAAAGGAGATGCACTGTATGAAAATTGGTGTGCCCCATAAGTTGATTAATTGCTCCCACTAAACACACAACACATGTGTCCAATTGATTCAATATAGAGAAGATACAGAATTAGGGGCGTGGCCATTTTTTTTTTTTTCATTTTTTTACGGAACTATTAGATGTGAAATTTTTATTTGAATCGAATTGGTCTAGAAACAACTTAATTCTTCTCTTGAAAGCTCAAGCTCGACTCGTTCATATATTCAAATAAGTCAAGATCGAACAACTAATCGAACTTATGTATTATCAATGCGAGAGCAACTTAATTAGGGGTTTGCATGGATTTGGAATTTTAGGCTTTGGTTTTATTAATCGAGCTGAGCTCGAACTTACATTTCTGATATTGGAAATGAGAGATTGTAAAATTGAATCCATGCACAAGACACTACTTTCTGATAATGATTTCTAGCATTAATGATATGAAATATTCTAATGAAAGGCAAGAAAACTCGGCTAACTCTATACTCTCTAAAGACAGTTCCCTCTCTGTTGGAAGTCCCTTAGCCTTTTCTTTATCATATCCATCGATTTCTTCCTCGAGCTCTGCTTAGATGTTCTGTTCGAAAAGCGTCACATAATCGACTTCAAGATCGCGATTTTTTTCTTCAATTTTCTCCACGTACAGAGCGTAATTCAAATCCTCAAGGCCTAAATAGCTAATAGCATGTTTGAACAAGAAAGGAAACAGGTAACTGCTTTTGCCTTTGTACTTAGAAAAATAAGAATTGATATCAAATAATTGTACATATTCGTTTGATTGCTTACTAAAAGTTCATAACCAGAACAAGGTAAAAGTTAGGAATCAATATCAAGTGCTCGTAAAATTTTGTCAAGTATCCTTTTCATTTTCTCAAACATTAAGGATGCCATTAGGTGGTGGATCTAAACAGTAGACAATTATATTAACTAACCGTTTCAAACTAAAATGTCATACTCTAAAAAACAACGTAAATAAACTAAAATAAAAGTTATTTCATAGTAAAAATATGACGATTAAAACATGGCGATAAAAAATGCATGGGGCATGATAGATGGGTAGACTTGAATTAGCCCAAATCCACATAAGAATGTAGTACCCAAAAGACGTCAAATTTGAAATAAAAACATGCACAACAAATTCATACACCACATGAAATCCATAACAAAATAGATCCAAGATCAAAGCTAAATCAAATACATGCAAGAAAATCAACTCTTAAAATAACTATAAGCATATAAATACATTAATGAGATATTATTATTTATTATTATTTATAATTATTATTATTATCCTCTCATCCAAGACGGATAATAACAAACTAACAAGTGGCAGCCCAAATGCCAAACCATCACTTCCCCCTTCAAATCCCTTCTCTCTAGTTTCTCTCTCATCAACCTCCACCAAAAATGGCGGCCGCCGCACCTTCTTTATCACTCTCCGCCACTCTCTCCGCCGCAAATCCCACCTCGAGAACCCCATTTTCACCCACCCGCAAAAGTCCCGTCATCTCGAGAAGAGAATTCTTGATGGGCTCGTCAATGGCCGTGGGGGCGCCCCTCGTGATTTCTCCGATTTCGCCGGTCACGGCGAAAGAGGTCGAGGTGGGGTCCTACCTCCCGCCGTCTCCGGCCGACCCATCTTTCGTCCTCTTCGCGGCCACTCCCAAGGACACCCCTGCTCTTCGTGCGGGTAAATTTCAAAATTTTTATAATGTTGTTTATTTGTAATCTCTTGATTGTGCATATGTATTTTACTTGATTGGAGAGTGTGCTTGGAAGGAAAAAAAACAATAATATATGTGAATTTGTTGGCATTAACTGGTATTGTGAGATTTTGGGATGGAAGTTCAGTTTTGAATCATTAGGAACTTAAAAGTTGAAATCAGTAAAGATCAGCTCTTTATTTTGGGTTTTGGGTTTCAAGTTTCAAGCTGGCTGTGTTTTCAGTTGTTGGTTTTGGTGTTACAAAGCTTCCATTTTGAGGATAGCTATGTAGAGTGAGTTCTTGAATTGATGCATTTTTGTTTCTAAATTTCTCATGTTTGATGGGATTAGAATGTTATTTTTTGCACTCTCTNGAGGAGAGTGTGTTTGGAAGAAAAAAACAAAAATATGTGATTTTGTTGGCATTGATTAGCATTATGAGATTTTGGAATAGAATTTCAACTTTGAATTACTAGACACTTGAAAGTTGAAATCAATAAAGAGGACATTTTGTAGGTTTTGGTGTTATAAAGATTCCATTTTGAGGATAGAGATGTTAGAGTGAGTTCTTTAATTAATGGCATTTTTTGTTTCTATCAGATTAATTGGCATTTATGTTTTGGAATTATGATTGAGCATACCATTGATATCTTATTTTACACATATTCTTGTGTGAGGCTCCCTAACAGGTCGACCCGTCATATTTTTTGAACAAAATACAGACTTATATAGACTTATACTGAGAAATATCATATTTTTTTAGAGTATGACATTTAAGTTTGAAAGTATGAATATTTGTTGACAAAGTATGATTGACTAACTGTTACTCTTAGGTATCCGTACTACTTATTTTTAAAGAGTTCAAAAGTTTCTTTGAAATTAATTATGTTTAGAGGATCTTGATCTGGTAAATCAATTATAAACTTTTTTTCTTATTTACTGGGAGACCCATTAGTGAACACCCCAAATACTGTAACCTTGCAAGTATATCGGACGTGTAATAATCGAAAATACAAAATATTATCTTGCTGGTTTAAATGGTTGAAGGACTTCAATATGGGCATTTGATGGGTGAAAATGGCATTGTTAAGATGCAATCATCATCAGTAGGAAGTGAAAAATGTTATCTTCAACTTGGGTTCAAATTGAAGTGTTTGTTTTCTTTCCATTTATTTAGTTTTCCATTTCATAATAATATTCACTTTTCATTTTTCTTTCCTCAAAAGTCAAATCACCCTTACTCTATAATAAACTTCTGAATATAGCTCACTGCAGGAAATGTACAGCCCTACAAGTTCATCTTGCCCCCGAGTTGGAAACAAATGCGTGTAGCTAATATACTTTCGGGTAACTATTGCCAGCCTAAATGTGCCGAGCCATGGGTTGAGGTGAAATTCGAAGACGAAAAACAGGGGAAAATCCAAGTGGTGGCTTCTCCCTTGATTCGACTGACGAACAAGCCAAACGCGAATATCGAAGATATAGGGAGCCCGGAAAAAGTCATTGCTTCTCTTGGTCCGTTTGTCACTGGTAACACGCTCGACCCTGATGAGCTTCTAGAAACTTCTATTGAAAAACGAGGAGACCAAACGGTAAGATGCTGTTTGGATATGAGATGTTTTGATTTTGTTTGGATTTTTTAGTTTTGTATAGTTAATTTTTAGTGGATTTTGAGTTAATATCTGAAATTAAATTATTAAAGTTGATTTGATGTAAAATTATTAAAATTGATGTAATGCATAAGAATGATTGAGTGATGACTGGTGTTATTGAATTATTATTGATAACATTGAGGATGGTGTAGTTGAGTTAAAGTTGAGTTAGATTTGAGTTTAAAAAAAAAAGAAGTGATTGGTTAGAAATGATTGGATTCTTTGGGAAAACTTTGTATTCTTCTCATATCGTATTCGTGTGCTTCCTTTGATGATCAACTACTTGTTTTATACGATAGTGTTAACTTTTGATTAGGGGGGGTTATCAATTTTTGTGATACTTAGAAACGATTGATTTTTTTATTTTATGTTTTTTAATTTTTACTGCATTTGACAAATGTAGTACTACAAATATGTGCTCGAGACTCCATACGCTCTCACAGGAACACACAATCTCGCAAAGGCAACAGCAAAAGGAAGCACTGTGATTCTCTTTGTCGCCAGTGCAAGCGATAAGCAGTGGCAATCGTCCGAGAAGACTTTGCAAGCCATACTCGATTCTTTTGAGGTGTAAATATTGCTGCTAGAAATTGAAGTTTAAAGTCACACACTTGTGGACTTTTTTCCTTTTTTCTTTTCTTTTCTTTTCTTTTCTTTTACCGCCTTTTTCATTTTGTTGAGGTGTAATTGTGTTGATTTATTTTGACAGATGTGTAATGATATTTATATTGTCGTTGCTGGTTTTTGCGAGAAAAATATGAATGCTTCTCTTAGGTTGTGAATTGGTTAGTGACATTATTTGGTGACTGACTCTTCTTGTGGCAGGCAGTGGGTACATCTTAATATATAGTCAATGGGTTTTTAACTTTTACCGTTGGATCGACATGCACCCATGTGTGTGTTGATCAATGGTAAAAAAAACCTGCACTACAGTCACTTGTGGGGTCGAACACTCTGTATTAGACCCTCGGCTTGGCTCGATAAGACACGAAAAGATGATTTTTTTATATAATTTTTTACAGTTCAATTCGTTAAAATTCGATTTCAACTTGCTAAGGCTAAAGTTCTGCTTGTCAATATTGATGGCTCGAGCAATACTCGTTTACACGGAAGAAGACACAAATATAAGAGCTCTACATCTAGTTTACGTTCATCACCGTTCGTCTATCACAAAATATACGGTCCACATCTTTTTTTTTCGATAAATTTCAAGTCCAACTCGTTTGTTTTAGTCCACGTCCACACGACCGACTTAAAACTCGAGAAACCATTGGTGTATAACATCAACATTGAAGTAGTTTGAGTGTAGTAGCTCTTGTTGGCTATATTCAACTTATAAATCTATTTGCAGCCTATAATTTTAGCACAAGGTTTAAGCCAGGGCCGTCTCCAGAAATTTGGAGGCCCCAGACAAATTCTTAAGAGTGGCCCGTAATCGTATTTCTATATTTTGAAATTTTTAATTAAACAAATAGTATTAAACATTGCTAATAATAAATAAGAAAATACAATTAATATGAAAAACAAAAGTAAACTAAAATAACACAAACTTACAACCTTCTCATGCTCTTTTGTTCAAAAATTTTCGATCAAGTCACTATAATCAAGTTTCCAAACTATTTTGTTTTCTGCATTCAGCAAAGATCGTTTGTAGAGTTTATCATTGAAACTTCAACCTTTATCGTTAATAGGATACACGACATTAGTAACTCTAATCACTATTTCTCAACTTAAAAAAAATTAATATATTTGAGGCATATTATCCTCCCAATATCCTGAAGTTGAACAAGTCATTCGAATTGTCACAATTAGTATATAGGTTATTATTTATCTTCTCGATATCATTTGCATTCTCTAATTTATTATTTTCTTTTTCAAAAACGTCAACCCTTCTATCATTATCATCTAAATAAATATGATACGTTAAATCTCGATCAATTTCAACTAGGGGCGTATCAGTTACTTCTTGCAAAATTTCAATAGAATCAAACACTTTAACTTCTACTACACAAGTACTAGGTTTTACATATCTATCCATACATCAGACGATAGACTTTGTTAGTATCTCACTTTGTTAGTATCTCTTGTTTTTCTTTATTTTCCTTTTCAAACGTCCCGTATTGAATTTGCTTTTGTATGTCATAACTCATATAAAAAATCTAATCAGAGAATAATACATTAATAAATTTGATCACAATAATAATTAACAAAAATTATAAATTAAAAGAACAGTAATTATTTAAAATATAATTAGCACAAAAAAGAATTGAATTCAAAGCTTGAAATTTCTATATGTAATACGTGAAGTTAGAAATAATACGCTCAAGATGTAAGTGATTTGAATCAAGAAATAATATACTCCTTAATGTATTTTATTTTTCTCTTGGATGAAACTTGAAGGGGAGAAGAGGAGCAGTAATTATTTTAATATCTCTAACTTTTAATTGACTTTAATAATTTTGTGAATGGGGCAAACCCAAACAAATACATACCATTAAAAAAAAAAAAACAAAAAAAAAAAAAACAATGTGAAGCCTCCCAAAATGCAGTGCTACTACCGTGTGCCCTGGCACATAGGTGTGTCAGGGCAATTTAAAATGAACATGTTATGTTACAAAATAAACATGTGCAAACATGATTTACACATGTTCATTTTGTAACATAACATGTTCATTTGTGGCACACCTTGGTAGGTGTATCAGGACACACCTAAGTATTTGCGCCCAAAATGGAGGCCTAGGCAGCTGCCTATTTTGCTTGCCCCAAGAGCCGTCTCTGGTTTAAGCCCTAGTTGAAATTTCCAGAAGCTTCTTATACCAACTGCGCGTGAAGTTGTGAAATACCAAACTTCATATGCCCATGACTGTGTTGATGCGCAAATACTTACGTGCACCTAGGTACACCTTGCTAGGTGTACCAAGGGAGAGAGTGAATGCACATAAGAAAAAGGAGCGTGGCCTTAAAATGAAAATCATGTCCAAATCCTTTCCCACGCGCAGAGAGAGAGAGAGAAGAAAAAGGCGGTAAAAAGTAGAGCTTCCTTCCGCCAAAATTGGGCTCATTTATCAAGGCAAAAAATCCTCTTTCACTCCATATTTTCTCTCCTGAAGGCAATTGTCGATTTTATCTTCTGCAAAACTGAATTTTCCGATGGTGATATTACAAGATGTAGACGCATCCCCTAGGTTTTGTAATATTGAAAATGAGCATGTTCATTTTAATATGGAGAATGAACATGTTCATTTTGGAGATGGAAGTGTAGTTGGGTCTTCCAATCTGGAAAAAAGTGTAATTGGGTCTTGCAATCCGGAAACAATTTCTTTATTTGAGGATGAACATGTTGATTGTAATGAAACTGCGGTAATATCGCTTGATGAAGATGATGAACATGTTCATTTTAATCTGGGGGATAAACATGTTCATTTTGGAGATGGAAGTGTAGTTGGGTCTTCCAATCTGGAAAAAAGTGTAGTTGGGTCTTGCAATCCGGAAATAATTTATTTATTTGAGGATGAACATGTTGATTGTAATGAAACCGCGGTAATATCGCTTGATGATGACGATGAACATGTTGATTGTAATGAAACCGCGGTAATATCCATTGATGAAGCCAATGGTGAAGGCGAAGGTAATTCAGAAACCATGTTCATTCTACAATCAAATATGTTCATTTCATACTGAAAGATACTCATAAACACATGTTCATTGTTGTATATAAACATGTTCATTTTATTTTGTAGAAAAAGTTCATTTTGGTTTTAAACATGTTCATTTCATTTTGTTTTCACACATGTTCATTTTTTATATAATTATGTACATTTCTGTATTGAACATGTTCATATATTAAATAGGTGTTTATTCTCTTTGTTTTGGAAAAGTTCGATATGGAATGCATACATGTTCATTTCTTAACTCAACATATTCATTTCTAACCGGAACATATTCATATTTTTGTAGAGATCGATGATGAAAAATTGCTTGGGATGAAATTTAATTCCTTGGAAGATGCTTATGAATTCTACAATTCATATGCGAAGAGACATGGTTTTGGAGTTAGAAAATTCAAGTCAAGAAAGAAGAAGGATAATAATGTATATTGGAAACAATTTTGTTGCAATAAGCAAGGGTTTAAAAGAAAAGTGGACAAAGAGAGGAGTTATACAAAATTGGAAACGCGGGTTGGTTGCAAGGCAATGATTCAACTTCTTTTTGATGGTGCTAATTGGATAGTGGAGCAAGAAGTGGATCAACACAACCATGAGTTAGTTCCATGCAATCAAGCCCGCTATTTTCGCTCTCACAGGGATATGCCTTCGAATGATGTAGCATATTTGTCACAATTAAAAGCTAGTGGAGTTGGTGTTACCGTTGGTTATAGGGTTCTTTCAGATCAAGCTCGTGGTGTTCAAAATATGCCCTATACAATAGTTGATGCCCGTAACCACGTTGCAAAGGTTGAACGGAGAATTTGGGAAGGCGGTGATGCAAATGGCCTACTTAATATATTGAAAGAAAGACAGGCCCGGGAAGATGGATTTTATTTTAATTATGATCTGAATAAGGATACAGCATCATTGTGTTCCATTTTTTGGAGGGATTCTCGCATGAGGAAGGATTATGAGGTGTTTGGTGATTTAGTTGTATTTGATACTACTCATAGGACAGTTAAGTACAATCTTGCATGTGCTCCATTTACAGGGATGAACCATCACAAGAGAAACATTATGTTTGGTGTTGGTTTTTTGCTTCATGAGGACAAGGATTCATTTCAGTGGTTGTTGGATGAATTTCTGAAGTCAATGGGTGGGAAGCAGCCTGCCACAATAATGACCGATGAAGATGCAGCCATGGCAGCTGCAATTCCATTGGTGTTAACGCAATCCCGACATCGCTTATGCACCTGGCATATTGACGAGAATTCAAAAAAGCACATTCAGTATCTTCGGATAATGCCCGGTTTCATCAATCTTTTTCATTTGGTTTTGAGATCAACGGACACAATACCGGAATTCGATTTTTATTGGAAAAAGTGAGTTATTCAATTTATATTTGAACACGTTCATTCTACAATTAAACATGTTCATTTCATAATGAAACATGATCATTTCTCACTGTAACTTGTTCATGATAATAATTTTTGTAGATAAAATTAATTTTCGTATAAAAACATGTTCATTTATTTATCAAACATGTTCAAATCATACTGAAACATTGTCATATATTAAATAGGTGCTTATTCTGTGTTTTAGAAAAGTTCAAAGAACATGTCAAATAGAATGTAGACATGTTCATTAGAAAACTGAACTTGTTCATTTTGTAATGAAACATTTTCATATCATACTGTAACATGTTCATGATTTTATTTTTGTAGAAAAAGTTCATTTTGTTTTAAACATGTTCACTTTGTATACAAAAATATTCATTTAGTTATTAAACATGTTCACTTTGTATAAATAAATACTCATTTAGTTATTAAACATATTCATTTTGTATATGAACATATTCCTCTAGTATACGAACATGTTCATTAGAAACGCTCATTTTTTATACGAACATGTTCAGTATACAATTACACATATTCATTTCATACTGTAACATTGTTCTTGATACTTCAGTATGTGTGATACATACAATTGCGCTGATGATAAATGGCTGAAGCGGTTGTATTCAAATCGTCACAAATGGTGTCCAGCCTTTAACAAAACTCATTTCTCTGGTGGTATATTGTCATCCCAAAGGAGTGAATCAACAAACAACTCAATTTCGGCGAAACTTCCCAAGACTGCTCGATTGTGTGGCTTTTATTCTCATTTTGTCAAAGTTCTTGAGGAGTGGAGAGAGAAGGAGAATAAAGATGACTTTCGGTGCAACAATGGCCGTGTGGAATGTCAATTCCCTGATAATTCCCTACTCCTTAATGTTCGTGAGTTGTACACAATTGAAGCATATATTCATTTTGAGCAACTGTATATAGCTGCAATTTCGTGCAAGATGGAAGTCGTTGGAGCACCACAAAGCATTGGAATTGGAAATAATGGGAATGTTGTTTTATGCTATGTTCAAAGGGCAAATGTGGATGTGTTCAAGCACCAAGTAAATTTCAACTTAACTTCTCATGAGGTTAGGTGTTCATGTGATTTGTTTTCGGAGGTTGGTTTCCTTTGCTGCCACTGTCTTAGGGTGTACATCGTTTTTAATGTCGAAAGAGTTCCGGATATGTATGTACATCCAAGGTGGCGTCGGAATGCCAATTTGAATTGTCGTTTAGACTTGGAGGGAACCCAATATTCTGCGGGTTACCATGTGCCAGGTACATATTCATTATACAATAGAACTTGATCATTTTGTATTGAAACATGTTCGTGCCTTACTGAAACATGTGCATGATATTCATAATACAATAGAACATGTTCATTTAGTATTGAACACATGTTCATTACTGAATCAAATATGTTCATTTCAGGTGCATGCCTTTGGAGATCCGACAAAATATGCCAGTTTCTGAAGATTGTTTCATCGAGTGAAATGGATCAAAATGCCAAAGATATTGTTGATGAATGTTTGAGATCCATGTCTGATCGGATAGAGTCTCATTTTTCTTCATTAGCTACAGGTGAACCGTCTTGTACCGCGAAATCTTCTGCCGCGAATGTTAACGATCCAGAGAAATTGAGGCCTAGAGGAGAACGAAACATTCGACGGAAAAGTACTGTGGAGAAAATTTCAAGACAATCAAAGGGGAAGCACAAGAAACGAGCTTCATTGAGGAATAGGAACACCATGTTTAACCGGGTCTTTTCTACAAACCCTGAATTTGTTGGACGGTTTGTGCATCCTTTTCCTCCTAACCAAGATTCTCAAGATGATCCTAGAGGCTCTGGATACAATCCTCCGGTCATGAACATGGCCTCTCAAGATACCTTTTGTTTTCTATGAACATGTTTTGTTTTCATATGAACATGTGTCTTTTGCAACATGCACATGTGTATTAACCCGATGAACATGTTGATTTTGCACATGTTGTATGTTGATTTTGTAAGTAATGTGTTTCTTAACTCGATGCATTTGTTTATTTATAAAATAAACATTTCAAATTATAAGATGAATATGTTAGGTTATGAGATGATTATGTTTATTAACGCGATGAATATGTTGATATTCTATGAAGAAATATGTTAATTAACATAATGAATATGTTTATTTGTAAAATGAACATGTCAACTAGACTCTACTATAATTTGACTCGATTATACTAAGTTTGACTAGATTATACTAGAATTTGACTTAATTATACTAAGTTTGACTAGATTATACTAGAATCCACTTGAATATACTATAATTTGACTCGATTATACCAGAATTCACTTGAATATACGATAATTTGACTTGATTATATTAAGTTTGACTAAATTATACTAGAATTTACTTGAATATACTATAATTTGACTCAATTATATTAAGTTTGACTAGATTATACAAGAATTTGACTCAATTATACTAAGTTTGACTAGATTATACTATAATTCACTTGAATATACTATAATTTGTCTCGATTATACTAAGTTTGACTAGATTATACTAGAATTCACTTGAATATAATATAATTTGACTCTATTATACTAAGTTTGACTAGATTATACTAGAATTTACTAGAATATACTATAATTTGACTCGACTATAGTAAGTTTGACTAGATTATACTAGAATTCACTTGAATATACTATAATTTGACTCGACTATACTAAGTTTGACTAGATTATACTAAGTTTGACTCAGTTATACTTGGTAAAATGGATACGTTTCTTGGTAAAATGAATATGTTATTTTGTAAAATGAATACGTTACTTAATAAAATGCACATGTTTATTTGAAAAATGAATACGTTTCTTGGTAAAATGAATTCGTTTGTCCCGATTATACTAGAATTCACTTGAATATACTATAATTTGACTCGATTATACTAAGTTTGACTAGATTATACTAGAATTCACTTGAATATACTATAATTTGACTCGACTATACTAAGTTTGACTAGATTATACTAAGTTTGACTCAGTTATACTTAGTAAAATGGATACGTTTCTTGGTAAAATGAATATGTTAATTTGTAAAATGAATACGTTACTTGGTAAAATGCACATGTTTATTTGAAAAATGAATATACTATAATTTGACTCGATTATACTAGAATTCACTTGAATATACTATAATTTGACTCGATTATACTAAGTTTGACTAGATTATACTATAATTCACTTGAATATAATATAATTTGACTCTATTATACTAAGTTTGACTAGATTATACTAGAATTTGACTCAATTATACTAAGCTTGACTAGATTATACAAGAATTTGACTCAATTATACTAAGTTTGACTAGATTATTCTAGAATTCACTTGAATATACTATAATTTGACTCGATTATACTAAGTTTGACTAGATTATACTAGAATTCACTTGAATATACTATAATTTGACTCGACTATACTAAGTTTGACTAGATTCTACTAAGTTTGACTCAGTTATACTTAGTAAAATGGATACGTTTCTTGGTAAAATGAATATGTTATTTTGTAAAATGAATACGTTACTTGGTAAAATATAAATGTTTATTTGAAAAATGAATATACTATAATTTGACTCGATTATACTAGAATTCACTTGAATATACTATAATTTGACTCGATTATACTAAGTTTGACTAGATTATACTAGAATTCACTTGAATATAATATAATTTGACTCTATTATACTAAGTTTGACTAGATTATACTAGAATTTGACTCAATTATACTAAGCTTGACTAGATTATACAAGAATTTGACTCAATTATACTAAGTTTGATTAGATTATTCTAGAATTCACTTGAATATACTATAATTTGACTCGACTATAGTAAGTTTGACTAGATTATACTAGAATTCACTTGAATATACTATAATTTGACTCTATTATACTAAGTTTGACTAGATTATACTAGAATCTGACTCAATTATACTAAGTTTGACTAGATTATACTAGAATTTACTTGAATATACTATAATTTGACTCGACTATAGTAAGTTTGACTAGATTATACTAGAATTCACTTGAATATACTATAATTTGACTCGACTATACTAAGTTTGACTAGATTATACTAATTTTGACTCAGTTATACTTAGTAAAATGGATACGTTTCTTGGTAAAATGAATATGTTATTTTGTAAAATGAATACGTTACTTGGTAAAATGCACATGTTTATTTGAAAAATGAATATACTATAATTTGACTCGATTATACTAGAATTCACTTGAATATACTATAATTTGACTCGATTATACTTTGTAAAATGAACGCCTTTCTTGGCAAAATGAATATGTTGATTTGTAAAATGAACGCCTTTCCTGGTAAAATGAATATGTTGATTTGTAAAATGAATATGTTGATTTGTAGAATGAATATGTAGATTTGTAAAATGAGTATGTTGATTTGTAAAATGAATATGTTACTTTGTAAAATGAAGAAGTTTCTTAATATTATGAATATGTTTAACACTAAATATTTGTCTTAACAGAGAACTAACACAAGGAAAGAACCAACATGTTTATCAAAACCGAACAAACAGAGAACTAACACTACATCTATCAAAGTTGTTCATTTATCACTCGATTGTCTTTTCAGCGAAATAATTACTCAAATCCTCTCGGACAACATCTGATTTCTTGTTTATTGGAGACTCGATCAATTTGGCCAAGTACTTCACCCGCAAAGTGTCCAACTTGTTCTTCATGTGGACCTTTTTCCTCTGAAATGGACAATATAATCAACATCAGTTTGACTTGTAACATGCAACTCATGTAAACATTAAAAATTTAGGATGAAAAATATTACTGAATCACTGCCTATCACAGGGAATCCGCAATCATGGCCATCTGCATGCACACAAACATATTTGGACATGTGATGCATTGCATATATTCCGCAGTCCGTTGAGTTTGTTGAATCTGCGCAGTGCATGTTCACCAGTTTCAAGGCAAGCTTGTTGAACGGGGTCTTGAAGGGTTTCTTGTACATTTTTCTGTACGCTTGAATGACCTTTTTCTGTTTGTTGATGCCAGAATTAATAATTGTTTTTGTTAAACAATAAAAAAACTATATAGAATGTAAGTTGAAATAGTCAAGTCTTACCAAGAAATCGTTAGTTCCGCCATACTTGTTTTGAAGTGGCACATTTCCCCTCAACACTGTATCCAAGTTATCAAGAATGCCTAGTTTTTTATTTTCAAAGTCCAAACAGTAGAGATAGAAGTGGGTCTGAAAATAGACTGGGACAATAAGCTGAAAAATGGAACAGACCAATGTAAGATGAACATGTTTAACACTAAGATGAATATGTTTTATAATGAGATGAACATGTTCTATTTACTTACATGGCTGATATTCTTGATATCATGATTTGAAAGCCCTTCTTCTGCGAACTCGACATCCATCCTTGCAGCTGCTTCCCTCACATATTCATTCGGATCTCTGTTACTCATTGATTGTAAGGACAATCCCATCTACAAAGTATGTCGAATGTTTAGTGTAAGAGATATGCCGAGGTGTTAGTACTTCATCACATATGGATTCTTACCATGACATTGGTTGTAAAGCAGAATTTATTTTTATTTTTATTCAAGCTGTGGAATCTGAAATTCAAGTGCATCGCCCAAGCATCAACAATTGTTGATGAAATATACTCTCCAAGGTTCAAGGTCTTGAAATCCTCTCTTGTGCAGGCCAGTTGTAATCCTTCAAAGATGACTTCTCTGTAACAGTTACACAAAGAAAGGATGAACATGTTATATAATATAATGAACATTGTATACAACCAGATGAACATGTTATATAATGTAATGAACATTATATACAACAAGTGAACATGTTATATAATTTAATGAACATTTAATACAACCGGATGAACATGTTACAGAATAAAATGAACATACGTGGTTTTTTCAGCATTGTCGTTGTCCCCTTCCATTATAAAGTTCCAAAATGCTCTTTCCTTCAGAGTGCACTTGCCTCTGATTTCAACATGCCCTTTCCAGAAGGGAGTTGATAGGAAAGGGGGATCCAAATCGCTGTCCTTATTGCCTTTTTCTCCAAGAACCATCCTGTAATATTCATAATATTAGTTAGTTTGTCAATTTGCAAGTTGAATGTTTGACTAGCACAAAATATATACTCTTCAAATAATAATCTTCTCTCAAATGGAGTTTTTGGTGTCTTCTCTCCCCTAGCTTCTTCTTCCAAATTATTTTTTTCAGGAGTCTTCTCTCCTCCAGTTTGTTCTTTTTCTTCCAAATCCTTTTTTTCCGGAGTCTTCTCTCCTCCAGTTTGTTCTTCTTCTTCCAAATCTTTTTTCTCCGGAGTCTTCTCTCCCAGCTCTTCTACCACCGAAACATCTCCTTGCAGATCATTTTTTTCAGAAGACTTCTCTCCCAGCTCTTCTACCACTGAAGCATCTCCTTGCAGTTCAGAATGCATAAATAAATATTCAGACCCAAATGAATATGTTACTCAATAAAATGAACATATTTAAGAACGCAACGAACATGTTACCTGTATCTTGTGCTTGTTGTTGCCCATCAGTTGCAAGTTCTTTCTCAATTCCTTCCCGTTCTTGCACCACAACATCATCCTCATCCACTTCCTTATTACTGTCTTGTCCATCCCCATATTCATTGAAAATATCTGACAAAATAGATTGAATTCCTTCACATTGAATTCCTTCACCGTTAGAATGATTAAATAAATATTCAGACCCAAATGAATATGTTACTCAATAAAATGAACATATGTAGGAACGAAATGAACATGTTACCTGTATCATGTGCTTCTTGTTGTCCATCAGTTGCCATTTCAGTCTCAATTCCTTCATTTCTTTCCACATCATCATCCTCTTTCTCTTCCTCATTTTCTAAGATAATGAACATGTCTAAGATAATGAATATATAATGCAATAAGATGAACATGTTTGAGAGAGAAATGAACATGTTACCTCCATTCTGTTCTTGTTCTTGTTCCTGTTCCTGTTCCTGTTCATCTCGATCATTTGCCACTTCATTTTCAATTCCTTCTTGTTCTTGCACCAAAACCTCATCCCCAACCTCTACATGAATTGACTCCTCATCCTCATTTTCTAGATAATGAAATGAACATTTTAAATATGGATATGAACATGCTTAAGAACATGTTTAAGATAATGAATATGTCATTCAATCAGATGCACATGTTTAAGAATGAAATGAACATGTTAAATATGGAGATGAACATGCTTAAGAACATGTTTAAGATAATGAATATGTCATTCAATAAGATGAACATGTTTTATTATGAAATGAACATGTTACCTGCATCTTGTTCCTGCTCCTGTCCATCAAAACCCATTTCATCATCAATTCCTTCATTTGTTTGCACATCAATAACACCTTGTGCGATTTTCATGATAACTGATGCATGGTTCTGAAGTGCATGATGAATAATGAGGGCAGCACCCAAATCCGAGCTCTTTGCCCTTTCACACACCTCTCGAACTTCAGACACGAATGGTGCTATATTTGTCATAGCCCTTTCAAACCTTTCAACCAAATTTTCTTGCTGTTTGTTTGTTTTTAGGAAAAAAACTTGTATGAGATGAAGCTGTTATATTATTATATGAACATGATACATTATGATATGAACATGTTTTACAATGAGATGAACATGTTGGTTAAAGGGATGAAGTTGTTGTATGAAGGGATGAACATGTTTTAGAATAAAGATCAACATGTTCTATTATTTTGTGAACATGTTGTCTGATAAGATGTACATGTTGTAGAAACATATGAACAGAATTTACCTCGACCACATGTTCATCAGCTAATGTGGCTGCTTGATCCGCTCCATCTCTTGGTGGTTTGATGGGATCAAGTATTAACCCCATCCCAAAACCCTGGCCACTCTGCTCTTCCCTAACTCTCTTGGAAATTGCTTGATTTGTCCAATAAGCAATAGCAGGGAATTTCCGGGGTACATAAGTCTTGTTCATAAACTGGACCCTGTCCAGATAGCATACTACCAAGAAAGTGAGTGGACCATTAAAATGGGCCTCTCCACCACTTTCATTCCACATCTTGACCGATTCAGAAAGAGCTTGTAACACATACTGGCACCAATTGTAATTGATGATGTCAGACGGTTTTCGCAACGATTTGAGCAATCTAAACTTGCATTCTTGGCCCCTATTTCTCCAGAGAAATAGGGACACCACAGCAATCACGAAAATTCTTTTAAAGTCATCTCCATAGACTCTCTGTCCTCTCTCAACGTCCTTTCCAGTTAAATATTGCACCAGCTTTTTGGCTGTTGGAGCTCCAGCCGTACGCTTAAAACCAAAGGTCTCCCTGAAATCCCCAAGCATCTTATTATATTGTTCATCTTTGTCATACCAATCACCCTCAATGACCTCTTTTGGTCCTCTCGGTAGGCCCAGAACAGCCTCAACATCTTCGGCGGTAATATTCATCTCTCTATTACCGCGGAGAATGAGTGTGTTACTGGCATACCTGTGATAACATGTGATATAATGTGATGTACATGTTTAATAAGAAAATGAACATGTAGTAGAATGAAAATAACATGTACATTATAATGAAAATCAAATTTCACAAATTACCTGTACTGTGTGACCAAGTAATAACAAAGATTTGGTGGCGCAATTTGTGTAATCTTCATGTCGAGAAGATGACCAAAACCTACACTCTTTACATCTTCTTTCTGTCGGTCATCCAAGTCTTTGAAAAATTTGTACAACGCTAGAGGGGAAACTCTATTTAAGAATCCCCCTTCTTCTTTTATTTCATAGGTTAATTTTGGCTTCTTTCTTTCAGTTTGCTTACTCTTATCAGCTTTCCTTTTTCTACAAAAATAATATCATGAACATGTTACAGTATAATATGAACATGTTACAGTATACAATGAACATGTTAAATTGTATAATGAACATGTTCAAACATAAAATGAACATGTTACAGTATGATATGAACATGTTTCAGTATTTAATGAACTTGTTCTATTGAATAATGAACATGTTCAATTACAAAATGAACATGTCTACATTCTATATAAGATGTTCTTTGAACATGTATAGCAACGAAATGAACATGTGTAGTAAGAAAATGAATATGTTTAAAAGAAAATTGAACATGTTCAAATGAACCAATATACGAATGAAGATGAACAAGGCGGACATACCGTTCACCAACATTTTCTGGCCGTTGTTTCGACCTATTTTTCCTACGGCCTTTAATTTTATCCTGTGTGGAAAAAAATTTATAACACATTATACAATCTTCTAGAATGACTACTTTAAACCCTAGGCACAGAAATTTGAAATTGAAAATAGGGTTTTGGCAAGTGAATTGAATCTCTAATCGGAATGGTTTCAACCCAAGGCACAAAATACATACCAGCATGTTCCGCAATGTCTCGTTTTCCATCTGCCATGAAGTAGGGTTTCTCATTTCTAAGTTTAACATTTAAAATTTATGAAATTGAAATTAAATCGACATGAAAAGCAAAGAAATCTTACCTGGGAAGTAGAGATTGTCGGAAATTGAGCGTTTTTCACTTAAAATTATCTTCTCCGGGAACTTTTGCTTGTGAAACAGAGAAAATTAAGAGAAAACAATGGTGAGAATGAAGAGGAGTTGCAGTTGCAGTTGGGGGAGAAGACGGTTTGAAAATCGAGGCACGATGCCGGCAAAATTGGAAAAAAAAAATAATTAATGAGCAAAAGTTTTGATGTGAAAGGCGCGTGGTTTTCACGTTAAATAAAACCCTTTTCACCACTTTTTTTGGACTTGGCTCGCGCGTGCAAATCGGGCATGGCACACCTAGCAAGGTGTGCCTAGGAACACGATAGTGCAACTGGTGTTGATGTATGATGATTAGTTTTCAAATTTACTCATTGCATTGTTTTTATTATCAATATATTTATGTTTCTTTACAAATTTGCATCTCAGTTTTGTTAGAAATGGCAATGTAATAAAGTTAACTTTTTTTTTTTTAATAATCCTCAAAATCTCGGGGTGGGTGTAGGGGTCGGTGGATTTAAAATATGGACAAACACAGTTCCACACGGTATAATTCTGATTTAGGCATTATAAAGTCTTTGAATTAATTTTGGTTTTTCTAATTATTATTATTATAGTTTGAGTTGGACAAAAGTCTGAAGTATGGATTTACTTTGGTTTTAAGTACAATTATATGAGCTCTACTTTATGACCGAATTTGATTGTGAATCGAAATCATAAGTTTATAATGATGCCTACCTTATATTTGTCAATGAACAATTAATTAACATATAAACCGGATAAAAATAATTCATCACATGTTAATATAACTATCATTACAAATATAATATAATGTTTATATTTGGTTTGAGACTATGATTAAAAACATTCACATATGAAATGTGATTTTTTTTCCCTAGTACATATGCTCAATAGTCTTGTAATTTCAGCAATTCTTGTTAAGTTAAACTTAACATTAAATTGATATATTTTTCTAGCAATACATATATCTGCCTATATTCTTGCAAACCCTATAAATCAGCACGGATTGGATATTTCCAGCAATTTCCATGCCCTCCAAATTCTGTCCTATTCTGGAATTTTTTGGCCCTACAAAACAAAAATAAAAAATCCCTAGAAAAAAAAAAAATTGATGAGAAAAATAGCAAATTTCCATATAACCCAACCACTGGTATCTTCTTCCTCTCTCTCGGATTAGAAAATTACAGGAAATTCGAGAAAAGGGTTTTTCCTTTTCTCGATTCCACCCTTTTTTCCTCTTTGCCTGGAGGAACCTTCGCATGTTTTTCTGCTAGTACCTGTATCTGTGTGCGTATATACGTATTTTGTTTCTTGTATCTCGTGTTTAATATATACAGAGATGGATGTGACTTCCCAATCAGCTGTTGAATCCGACGGCAGCGGCGCCGTCGCCGAGCGGACGGATGCTCCGCCGGCTTACGTCTCGATGGTGGATCCGTTTTTGGTGGAGGCCCTTCAGAACCCTCGTCATCGGTTGACAAGTTGGGTTTTTGTTACCTTTTTTTCTTGAGTTCAATATTTGTGTGGTTTTCTGTTTTGTGAGCTGTGAATCGATTATTTAGTTGTTTACTTGCCGTATGTGTAGTTAGGGTTTGGAACTGCTTGGAGTTCGATGCCTTTTTTAGATCTGAGGAGGGTTGATTTTTGAATTGAAGTTTGTTTTGGGCGGGATTGGTGTTTTGCTGAACTGATGTAGATCTGGGGTGGGGAAAGCTGAATTTTGTAGTGATTGAGCTTATTTATCTTTAGAAAATGGTAATACTGTGATAGAATTACAATGTTTGGGTGAACAGAATTTGGAAATGCGAGAATTTAGTCTCCGTTTGTTGTATTCTTTTATTGATAGTTGTTGGGATTTGTTTCGGGTTAGTGATAAGCTTTGTTGTTGATGGATTTTAGTAGGAAACACAAATTGGTTTGGTAGTAAACATGGGTAGATATCAACCTGTAAGCTTGTAGTCATGGAGGCAGGGAGAAACGATAAGTGGAGACCTTTTTTTCGTAAAGTTTTTTATCTCAATATCTTGTCGACTTGATGTAGTTTTGGGTTAATTGCAATTGTTAACAAATGATTTAGTATTAACAAACAAGATGCAGATATTTAATTTAAATAACTATGGCACTTGAATTCTATACCCTGCGAATTTCAACATTGTCTTTTTTCTTCTCTTGAAAAGCCCTTTATATTCTGAAGTGCAACTCCCTATGATAGTTGGCGTTCATTAGATATTTTGATTATTTTCTTTATCAGTTTTGGGTATCTTTATTTTAGATATCATAATTACTAATTCTTTGTTCTGCACGTGCCTGATTCTGTCAGTTTTGCGTATGGAGCTCGATATCCAGAAATTCCTTCAAAACTCTAATTTACATCAATTTGAGTTTCCACACTTTCCTACTTCGTACCTCCGTCTTGCAGCCCACCGAGTTTCTCAACATTATGGTCTACAAACTATGGTTCAGGACTGCTCTGTGGATGGCCAGGGTATTCGGATTTTGGTCATAAAAAACCCCGAGAGCAAATTTCCCGCCTTTTGCCTGTCGAACGTGCCAGCTAATGAATCTGAAACTGACAAACTTGACAAAATCAAGATTGTCCTAAAGCCAAGGCCCAAAGCTTCTTTAACCGATTCCAGTGAACTGGGGCATAACAATCGCAGTCCAGCGAGATCGGTTGAGGAGAGGAAGGAGGATTACGACAAAGCCCGGGCCCGCATATTTAGTAGCTCCGAATTAGGAGAGTTGTCGGGCCAAGTTGTTTCTGATGGAAGGAATTTGAATGCCAATGAGGATGAAGTTTCTAGAAGCTTTGGTGTGGATGGGGAGAAAAGCATCAGGGAAATAGGTAGTAGTTCTTCTAGGGTAGCGATTTTTAGGGACAGGGAAAAAGACCGAACAGACCCTGATTATGACCGCAGTTATGACAGGTATATATTTTTTTGCTAAAAGTGCCTTCAAGTTTTTTAATCAGATTGCTGAATGCTGTAGATATTTTCTAAGGTTTCGCTTACTATCTGGAGATTTGTTTCTGTTTTGGTACATTTAAGTAGGCTTGCATGTAAAATCACAGAGATTGAGAAAAACACAGTAAAGATACATTAATATTTTAGTATAACAGCTAGAATTTGAGGTAACTGAGGGAGTAACATTTAACAAGGTAAAGCACTAAAGCTCGAGGCATCATCTATTATCTGCTTGTTTTACGAGTCATGAAAATACAATGGACTTCGAAATGTTACGTGTCATTCTCTTTTTGACGGCCTGTTGTAAATTGTCTCATGTTGTATAATCTGTTTGCAATGGATTTGTTATTTTTGCAGATATGTCAAGAGCATGCCAAACATGCAGAGTTTCAACCCAACACCATTTAATGCTCCCAGTTTCCAGTCTCCACTTGTTCACTATGACTCGTTTTTTCCTCAGTTGGGCCAGATGCATGGGCCTCAACCTTCTCTCAATTACAATAGCCCTGTAATGAGCCCGTACTGTGCCGTGGGCTTCAATCAGACTTCCAGGGATCCATTGTATGTGCAGTGGCCCACTCAGTCCATGATGTATGCCCAATCATATGATCATTTAAGGCATGGCTACTTTCAGGTATATGCCTAAGCTTGTTTATACAATACATTACTCTTACTTAATTGTAACGAGAGATGATATTAGTTCATTACACGTTTGTGGCATGTTGTGTGTATACACGATTTACTTATATATTCATCAATTCAAATCCCGTGTCTTTTTCATGATTTTGTCTGAATTGGTATTTTGATCTCAATAATGCCTTATTCATCAAATCTGAACAGAACAAAATTTTATTGCGCTATTCTTTTTCTGTGTCAATTTTATCACTGTTTGCACCTGAGGTAAATTTATTTGACGTGTAATCATGTTTGGTAGTTATACTTATGTTTATGGTTTTATATCATAGTTGGTATGTGATTTGCTGAAATTGAAAAGGAGATTCTTTAGCCAGTTCTGTTGGTGAACAATTAACAGATTATGAACCTTGATGAACATCGCTATTCTTCGTTTTTTTTTTTTTCTTTTTAATGATATTTTATGAAAAATTATATCTACACTTTATTGGAATTTATTTTGCTAACTCGACTTTCTATTGTAGGCTCCATTCTGTCAGCAGCCGCTCAGTTTTGATTACTCACAGAACCAACGGTGATTTTGGGAAGTTATAGCTTGTGAGAATGTGTGTTTTGTTTTAGGAATTCTTCGTATTAGGTTAATCTAGTTGAAGACAGTTGGAACTTGGTCTTGTGATTTGTTCGGTTTTGTTGCTGTTTTTTCTGACTATTTTTGTAAACTTGTTTGGAGACCTACTAATTACATATGCTAGTGACAATCAGGCAGTGTTTGTTTGAAAGGAGACTGGGGATTTATATGCATGTTTGCAGTTTGTCAATTTATGTTTATGTCAGTAATAAGAAGTTACTATTTAACAGTTTTTATTTTTATTTTGTTTGTTCCTTATGTTTTTAATTACACATATAAGTGTTAGTCATGTTTGAATATCTACTATTATGAGCTATGAGCATTGATTGAAATGCATTTTGGTGAAGGTTACTGATAGATAAATTAAACCATTTGGACAATCTTATTTTTTGAACAAATATGAGTGTTTTTATATGGAAATGTAACATTTTACCTTTAAAGGGGAGTATAAATATACATTTTTGCTTAAAAAGTATAAAAAGTTTATTTATATAATTGTTAGGTTGCTCCACATTATTATTATTTATTTTGTTTTTGCTTTTATATTTTTATTCATGTAAGGAAAATGTACTAAAATAAGCGTACAAGTCATAGTTTGGACAAACCAATCAAATCAAATTCATATCTTGCCTTGCAAGTGAAAAAAACCCCAAATCCTTTCCTTCGTGCCCTAGCCTCTCCTCCTCCTTGAGCGTGCCTCTTCTCCAGCGGCCCTAGGTCTTGTGATCTCGGCGAGCATTTGGCTCGCCCTGGGCTTGGCGGCGCAGCTATGGCGATCTCGTGCCATGATGGATGAGTAGCGACGGATTGCGGGTCCAGTTAGCATATCAGTTAATTTTAGCAAACACTTTTACCATACAAGCTAGCTTTTCAGTCATAAGTCATAAGCTCGAAATTCACTTAACAGCTATAAACTAGCTTATCAGCTACATTTACCAAACATGACAATCTTTTTAAGGGTATGTTTGATATTTTTTGATGAAATTATAACTGAACTAGTAGTGATCCTGTGCACATACACATATATAAATTACAAAGTATTATAAATTATGTGTATATATAACATTAAAATTATTAAATAGATATTGTATATATTACATTTCATAAGTTTTATTATTAATAAATGACCATTATAAATACAAATTATTTAACTAGACATGAATTTCTATATTGATTGAATAAGATGTAATACATAACATAGTTTTTGTTACTTTGAGGGATCATGACCAATTAATTGCCTACAAATATACTCAAACAATAATATTTATTATTATTATTATTATAGAAATTTTTTGAGGGATATTTTCATGCCATCAAATTAATTATATAATAAAAAAAACTAATTTTACTTTTAGAGTAGATAACTTGAAAAAAAATGCAATCTAATTTTTGATGATTAAGTAACTTACATAAACCATTATTGTAAATTATAGTTTGTTGATTTTACTAATAACGATGTATGATAAAATAATTAATAGAATGTGATTACACTTACTTAATATAAAATGTAATGTTTGTACCATAATAATTAAAAATTTGGGTGGAGAAATTTTGTCATTTTCTTTATTTGATAGCTTGAAATTATATAGATATAGATGTTTGTATTAAGAAATACGGAAGTCAAGAAAGACAATTAATTTTAGTTTATCAATTAATAATTTTTTTTAATTATCAATTAATTTTGCACTATCATTTTATGTGTAAGTCTAAAAAAGTCATAAAGCATACAATTTTTCTTTCAATGTGAGTATTTGAACTAAAATCAGGATCTAATAACTAGTACGTAACCCGTGCGATGCACGGGATGTAAAATTTGGAAGAATAATATAACCTCACGTACATTAGGATCGAAATTGAAATCATTAAAATACATAGGAACATTGTTGAATCATAAAAAGTTCGGTAACAATCATATATTATTAAAAACCTCATTCTACACAACATTATGAGTTTGATTATTTGCTAACTCCTCATTATCACAAACTAATTGTTGACGGACGTTTCCGGTCAACGGTTAAAAGTCAAGCAATGGAAAGAAAAATGAGAAAAAGGCGAGGAAATACGGTTTAATCACGGTTTTATTAACGGGTCACGAGGTCGGCCTCTCGTACGAGGTCGGCACTTGTGATATCCTTATATTACTTACAAGAGTTTCTTACAAATCTTTTAGAGAGAGAAAATATGAGCTCGAGTAGTTGGGGTTCAACAACCCAAATATAAATGAGGGGGTTGCTATTTATAGGAGACTTTAATGCGGCACTGTTCGGATACTGTTCCACGATCTTGTCGTACAGTAGTTCAATGGGACAAGCCGGCGCTTCTCTGACTGATTGGGAGTGATTTCCGGATTCTCCAATCATTACCTGCCATACATTTAATGCGAACGTGGGCTGCATTAAATGCGGACACATTTTGGCTGAGTTGGACGTCCCATCGGCAATCATTCGTAGACAAGTGGCATTATTTTATTGTATTCGACGTTGTACTTCTATCAGGAGCCGCCCTTGTGAGACTTCGAACAAGGTGCCGACCTCTCAGCCACGTGGGTGCGGTGCCGATCTCGGGACTTGTTCCTCCCGCCGTTCCAGACGACTTTGACTCTCATTCAGCTCGGCACCCACGTGCGGCTTTGGTGACCGGCTCCTTCGGCTCGGTTCGGTATCTACGTTGGGTCCGGACTCGGATATTAACACTAATATTTTCAGAAGAGACAAATCCTAAAAATCAAACTAATATTTTTGGTGAACAAACTAATATTTTAGGATTGGTGAACAAACTAATATTTTAGGATTTCTAGGATTTGTCTCTTTTTGGTGAACAAACTAATATTTTAGGATTGAGTATATGAATAAGGCTAGATGTGTTATTAATTTTCTTGCATTTTATGTGTTTGTGTTGATTTTCTAGATATTTATTAGTTGTTTTTTGATACGATGAATGTTGTTAATTTCTTACTTTTATGATTTGATTTTTTGATACAATGTATTGGATGCTGATTTTAGTATTTTATAAAATTATAGTATTACAATGTACTTATTTTTTTATTCAAACTAATACGAATCTCGTGCGATGCACGGTAAGAGATATTCATTAGTATTTATAAATTAAAAATAATTATTAGATAATATTTATAAATTAAAAATATTGAATCAATATGTAATACATTTACCTATATTAATTTATTGAAAATGTTATATAAAATTTTATATCGTGCAAAATTACATAAAACATGTCAAATAAATAAGTATACAACCCGTATGGTGCACGTAACTGATAATAAATTACATTATATTTATTTCAAAATAAGTGTCATTTTAAAATATTTATTCAGAAATTCGATTGGACTACAATGTGATTCCATAAAATACTTCTTTTGGTAAAATTTTATCATATATTTAAAAATCTATGCGAATAATAAGTACAATTATAAAACTTATAGTGTTCATTAATTAAAATGAATTTAATTTTATATAAACTATCAAAATAAAAAAAAACTAAGTTGTTGAGTAATTTATTAAACTATAATTAATTGAATATTTCATTTATGCCTAAGTTAATATTGACACGTAAGTTATGAATAATTATTTATTTGACTTTTAAATTTGAAACCCAAATTTGAACTATACGATAAAAATATATATATATATAGAAGTTATATTTTAACTACACACGTGATGTAATTTAATTGGTTGAAAAAAATAAAGGAACCATCCCATTACGGGATAATAGTATTTTCTTGAAAAGATGACTTCAGCAAATAGTGTTTAATGACAAGGCATTAAAGAAACATAGAATTTTATAATAGGTTTAGAAACACATTTGAAGTATACTCTAGCTTTTCCAAATATTTTATCCTACCAAACATACTGTTTATTTACTCAAATATTGAGATGTTTTGAGTTTATGTATGATTTTTCTTTAAGAAAATAAAAATTGTCCAACCAAATTCTGTTGGAAAGCAAAATCTGAACTTAAAAAATGTTGGTGATCCTAAACTAATAATGCCAATAAGTCATATCTAACCTAACCAAATCTGTGAGATTTTGTTTAACATATCTCTATAAACATATTCAATTCAAAGGGTTGGTAGTTCAAATCAATGATGGCCAAATAATGGCTGTCTTTTTGAAACTGACAAAAAAATGATTCCCTTGAAAACAATTCAAAATGCCAGCTTAGAAGAATTAGATACCATAATATTTTATTTCATAGTCCGCAGCTTTTCTTCCAAAATTATTGCTCAATCTTCAATCTAAAAAAATGAATGATTTTGTTTTATTGATTCAAAAGCAACCAAAAAGATCTGCATTTTTTTTTTTGGCACTGGCAAAACATGAACAAAAAGCCTTTTTAGGAGACAAAAAGAAATGGGTCTTTCAAGAGAAGCAAATTTGTAAAAGTTTTTTCACTTCTGTTTGTGGGCACTAGAAATTGGTCTTTCAAGTGAAGCAAACAAAAACTAAAGCCGATTCATAAGAACTTCGAGACAAAAACACGAGGGAATTATATGCTCACGAGATCAAGTATATGATGCTAAAAGAATACGAACATTTAACCAAAATCTGCAACAATGTTTAGAATTATAATTGAAAACAAACCTAAATACCGAAAGTTAGCTACTATAGAGCACATTTGGGGACGATAAGAAAACTGACCGGAAAATCATCAATCATATATTGCAGTTAACCTATAAGATCACGAATCAAGTTGGACAATGGTATATTGGTATATATTTTTACCAACACTTAACAATGAGAAAAGGAAAATCCATTTCTCATGCTATTTTCCATGATACTTCCATGACTAGTAGATAGAACATCATAAAACTCAATAGCTAGATACAGTAAATATCTTCCTCAAGCATTAAAACAATGGAGTTTCAAACTGTTATTAGCATTTTTCAGGCACAATTATGCCGAACTTACCGAAGACAGACTTAGTACTTACATTCATGTACCCACTTATTCAAACAAGCACATTAAAAGAGCGAAATCTAAACAAGACTTCAAATTAGACAAGAAATCTACCCCTAAAGATCAGATTTTTTTCACAAGGGGAAGTTCAATCACTCATTCTATAGCATTTAAGGGACATTTGAAAAACATCCAATTGGCAAGAAAATATAATTTTCCATGAGAATTCATAAAACTCAATAGTTAGATACAGTAAATATCTTCCTCAAGCATTAAAACAATGGAGTTTCAAACTTTTATTAGCATTTTTCAGGCACAATTATGCGGAACTTACCAAAGACAGACTTAGTACTTGCATTCATGCACTCACTTATTCCAACAAGCACATAAAACGAGCAAAATCTAAACAAGACCTTAAATTAGACAACCCTAAAGATCAGATTTTTTTTCACAAGGGGAAGTTCAATCACTCATTCTATAGCATTTAAGGGACATCTGAAAAACACCCAATTGGCAAGAAAATATAATTTTTCACCTCAATGATTACGTTTTTATGCCTCATCATCACAAGCAAGAAGCGAAATCGAAATCGAAATCGACTCATAATGCAGATGATTTCCCAGTACCCTTATAAATGACCCATCAAAATCAATCATCTCCAGTAGGAAATAAAGTGAGAACTTTCTTCCCCGACTCCAAATCCTCGCCATAATTCGGCATTCTCTGCATTTGCTGCTGAGATTGCCTCACGAACGAGTGCTCAAACTGCCCGTTAGGCGACGAGCCACCAAAATGCCTGAACTGCTGCTGGGGATAATGAGCTGCCATGGCCGCCGGACGAACAAACGGCAGGAAATGCTCTGATCCAGTCCGGCCAGGGTGGAGGAAATGGGCCGGCACCGGCGAGCTGGCGAAGAGACGGTCGGTAGCAGGGTCCACGCCGGAGACCGCCGGGATCCCGCCGCCGCCGCCGCCGCCGGCGGAGATGCTCTGCATCCGCTTGAGGTAGAGCCTGTATTTCTGGAGGTGGCTGGCGACGTTCTCCCTGGTGAGGCCGTCGACGCTCATGAGCTGCATGATGGTCTTGGGGACGGCGTTCTTTATCCCGAGATGGGCAACGGCGTCCACGAACCGCTTGTGGAGCTGCGGGGTCCAAACCAGGCGGGGACGCTTCAGGGTCCTCGCGGGCTCGTCAGAGCCAGTCGCGGCCGCGCTCCGCTCCGGAGATTCGAGCTCGGCGGAGGAATTGGGCCGCGGCGGCGCGTGGGGCGCGTGGATGTTGAAGGCCATGGCCAAATCGGGGGTGATTAGGGTTTGGGACAGGGGCGTGAGCTCCTCCGGCGGCGGCAGCTCCTCCCCCCATCTGGGGAACCAGTTTGAATCGTCCTCCCTCATTCTTTTTTTCTTGATTTAAACAGCCGTGAAATCGGGAGAGAAAAAGTTCTTCCCTTTTTGCTTCAGCTCGTCGAAATCTTGATACAGGAAAATAAGAAATCGAAATCTGGGACAGACAGTGGTAAAGAACAGTGCCTTTTTTTGCAGCTGGAGAAATAAAATTTCAAAAGGGTGATGGATTTTAATTAGTTTGGTGAGCTGAGATTTTGTTGAGCTTTTTCTCTCTAAATCAAGAAAAGATTGGATTTTGGAGCTTTTGGGGGAGAGAGAAAGGAGGGGCGATCGAGGTGGATCATGTTTTTCTTTTTTCAGCTTTTATTGAGGTTTACTGTTTGTTGTTGTTGGTGTTGATGATTCTTTTCTTGTGATTTTGTGTGTGTGTGTGTGTGCTGAGAGTGTGGTGTGGTGCCGTTATCTGACCTCTGAACCAAACGAAGCATTAAATGATAGATATGACTATAGCCTAACATAGTAATTTTTCTATTTGAATTTTAAAAAACCATAGTCTAGCCCAATTTGTTTGTTGATAGTTAATTGGGTATTTATTAAATAGATTTCTTTTTTTTTTTTTGTTCTTTTTGTAGCTTTTTTATTTGCATTGAAGTTCTTTGTTATTGTTATTGATTTCTATAATTCTATATTTTTTTTTTCTCAATGAACATTTTTTTATCCAATTTGATTGGTAGTGCAATAATAATGATTTCAGCCTAGCTGCAAGACGAGCCGAATAGAGTAAAAAATTATTGACCTGGGATTGAAATAATTTCCTACTGCTTGACCTCGTGGTTGACGAGTCAACGTATAATATGTTGCCCGAGTTCGACGAGTGAAAAAATAGGAATGCTCGAGATTGACTCGATAAAGCTCGAAATCACAAGATTACAAATGTTTCAGTTTGCCAAACATAGAAGAGATGAAAGAAAAATGAAATGACGCAGTCTAAAAGTCGAGGTTAATGTGATCATGAGAAAGGTGGTGATGATCGAAGAATGACGTCTGCAACAATGATGCACGCTTGGTTCTAAACGATGACGAGTTAGGGGGACTTGGGCTCATTCCAATTAGGTTCAATGTGCTATTAAATAGTAGTTGAATGACCATGATTAAATGTTAAATCAAACATAAACGAACTTGAGTTAAATAGGTAGTTATAACTGAGTTGGATCTCTCAAAAGGTTACTTTCATCCAACATAGGCTGCTAGTCAAATGCTTGTAAAAAGTAAGCTTGGATTCAAGTTCACGTTAATGTTTAAGTTACTCGAGCTTGCCTCAAGATCAGTTAAAAATCAATATCCAACTAAATTTTAATTCGAACGCTTGTGAGCCGACCCTATTTCAATTCAATCTTGTTGAAAATTCACTTAATTATTAGTTTTATATCATTGTAAGATTCTCTCCTTCGATCAATGATGTGCAAAAATTATTAGACATGCACGTGACTGCTTGACTTCAGTTACAAATTTACATAAACATGATAGATTGGATGAGTTTACACGAGTCAGATTTTATGTGGAATATTTTAAATTAATTATAACCAAGATACAATTTTTTTTAAGGACCTAACTCTGAAGCAATTTACTCTTGGGCCTTTTACATTTTGAGGCCTGTAACTTAACAAATCCCAATTATTGTAATAGTAATGATCTGCTAATTAAAATCTCACATAGTAAAACGAGCCGAGCTGAACTGGGCTCGACTATTTGATATTTGAGTCAGGCGAGCTTGTTTTAACTAGCTGAATTCGAGCCTTATTCGAGCTAAGCATTTAACTCGTTTTCATTCATGTTTTCACTCTGCTTTTCCATTCGGTCGTTCAAAGAAGCTTCGTTTGTGCTGCTCTGCAAGTGGACATTGATTTCTTTAGTCCAGTTGCCAAGTTTCTGGACAGAATCTTCATCTGGTTAAATTAAATATGTAAAAAACACAATTTTAATATTAGATCATATAAGAAAAATAAAAAAGCCGATTTTTCGGGTTTAAACGTACCTAGTCTCGGGACTGTGTGGCCCTGAGGGTGCCTTATAATGAGAGGGTTAAAAAATGCAGAGGCTAAATCCTCTGAAGGCAGTTTGAGCCAATCTTTTTCACCAATGAAATGAACAGATTTAGCTTTGATTGAGTCTTTATAAGCAATCTCACATATGGTTTGGTCCCTAAATTTTGATCCTGATATGGAGACAACAAATTTTATAGGTGGATGCTCATTTAATATTTTCCCCTGCATAAATTCACATTGAAGCCAACCAAAAAAAAAAAAAATTGTCATTGCACATCAAGATTAGTATCAAAATTCAAATTTTCTCTGATTTATATTTTATTAACTTTCTCTAACCTGAGCTTGATATCCAACTAGAAGGGCCGATAATGTAGCTCCCTGTGAACAAACATATTTCGGATAAAATTTTTGAAAGATTATTGGTTTTCTTCCAAGTACTCACAAAATTGAATCTCAAAGGTAAAATTTTTGTTTTACCTACTACAAAAATAACCGAAGAATATACAACATTTTATAAAGATAAATAAATAAATACCTGAGAGAAGCCAAGCAGACCATCAAATGGACCTTTGCTTACTATATAATCACAAAGGTAATCTATACATGCTTCCAAGTTTGTGTACTCGGTAAAATCCTAAGTAAACGAATAGCAAAACGCGTTATGAGAAAAATCTCTTAATAACATTATCAATGGTTTAGATTTTATCTTATATGCTAGCAATAAATCACTACTTGTGGATTTTAAGGTACCTTGTTGAACTGAAACCACTCGAAATAAGGAGGTGGAAAAATGCCCTCGATTTCGGATTTTCCCCCAGCTGGGTAGATTCCATCTGGAAATTCCTACAAAAATAGTCATATGAATGCAAATTTATTTATTTATTTATTTTGGTATTATGTAACATAAGTTCAGTTTTCTATTTGTGCAGAGTGATGTTTTGTGTTTAAATTCAATCACAAATAATACAATGAGCAAAGCAGNAAATATTATGACCACACATTATCTATTACACTATTGAAAAAAAAAATAAAAAAATTCCAATGATATCTATGTGCTGTGTATTAAGAAATACATATACCATCTCAAAATCAGCAAAAATGGAAGGATCCCATTTGCTGATTTGCTTTTTAAGGAAGCTTCCACTTGTTCTGAATCCATGCAAGCATAGTATCTTCTTCTTTGATCCAACATTTGTTTCCATTTTCACACACCGTTTAGCAGAATCTAAGAATGAATGACGAAAATGGTAATGAAAGTTGATAGACATGATGAGTGTGATAAATAGAGATGAAGTAAGAACAATAGGGCTTTTGGAATTCGAGCGAGCTACCTTTCAAGAGTTTGGTAGCTTGCTTGGCTGGGATAATTGCCACGTGTAGTTGGACTTGTTAGGTTTAGAAACATAAGATTTTGTATGACATAGGTTCTTGCAACTTTGGTTCAATAATTCAAGAGGTCATATTTTGGATTTTTGAATTAAAAGTATCCTATGGAATTATCTTAGATCCTTAAGGATGTGATGGGATGTAAGTCTTGGTTTTGACTGATTTTTTGTTTAACTATAATTAATTTTGAAAAAGGTGGTTGAGTTAGATTTGAGCGAAATTTTAATTTTATATTAAAGTAATGTTCAAAATAAAATGATTAAAATTGATTTTATGTAAAAGTAAGAGAGAAGTGAGTGAAAGAGATATTTAGTAAAAATTATGTGAATAAATAAATATTGAATTAAAGATTTGATATGTAAGAATAATTGATTGATATTATTTAATTATAATTGATAATACTGAGAATAGTACGTTTGAGTTAAACTAGAGGTATATTTTTTATTAGAATTGAACTTTTTTGAGCTAATTTGTATCCAATCACCCCCTAAATATTTTATTACAAATTCTTATACAAAAATGTTCAACTGTTAAGTAGATCGACATGCCAATACTTTTTAATAGAAAATTCATATTAATAATATAAAGTACCGTTCTTTTATTTATATTATATTATTTTGTATAAAGTATGCACATATATAATTGTTGTCTAACTTTTATTTATTATATTATATTGTTTCGTATAAAAGTATGCAGATATATAATTGTTGTCTAACTGTTCGACCTATCTTAATTTCGTTACTGAAAGTTTGTTATTGGCTTATTGCACACAACATTTTCCCTCCAAGTGTCACTCACAATTAAACTTTCAAAACAAGAACATTTTCACTTCACAAACTTGGCAATATTTTGAATTGAAAACTTGACTTGAAGGGGACTCGTTTAAGAGATAATATGCCTTGCCTCTCACAATACAAGCAACATGAACAATTATGACAAACATTGTACACCTTTACTAAAAACACAATAAAACATTCACCAAATCAAAAGCTCCAAAAGCATAAGAGCAACACAAAAACCTCGTTCCATGGGCCAAACTAAACTTTGTCGACGACAATTTCATCACAAAAGTGTAATCACATTCTTACATAAAACCCCCTTTAGGAAGAAGAAGGTTAGAGCACACAAAGAAAGCCCCAACTTTTCCAATAAGAGTAAACACAATCCAAGTTGAGAACCAAAACAAGTTCAACGAGACCCTAATCGAAAGAACATAATAATAAACTCATCTCCCGAACTCCACCGTCAAGAGTAAACACAAACCATTAAGAAAAAATGAAATTAAGGGCACCCATATTACACTAATAAAAAAACCATTTTTCCATTAAAATTTTTTACCCATGAGTCGAGTGCCACATCATCACTTGGCCATCATGACCTTGACAAACTCCTCGTAATTTATCTGTCCATCGCCATCCACGTCAGCCTCACGGATCATCTCGTCAACTTCTTCGTCCGTGAGTTTTTCGCCGAGATTGGTCATGACGTGGCGAAGCTCGGCAGCTGAGATGAAGCCATTTTGATCCTTGTCGAACACTCGGAAAGCCTCCTTGAGCTCCTCCTCGGAGTCCGTGTCCTTCATCTTACGAGCCATTAAGTTCAAAAACTCCGGAAAGTCTATTGTCCCATTTCCATCGGCATCCACTTCGTTTATCATGTCCTGCAGTTCAGCTTCAGTTGGGTTCTGCCCTAAAGACCTCATCACTGTCCCGAGTTCCTTGGTTGTGATGCAGCCTGCAATAAAATGAGACGGTTTATTTTTTTCGTAAATTGAACCCTTGTACTTTCCACACAATTTATAAAGTAAAAGGCAAAAAGATTAGATTAAGCTTTTCGCCCCGCTAGATAACAATCTAACTTTTTCACCCCATAAAATTATTCGAAGGGTTCGCATAACTGTCACATATCTGTCGCATATTCACATTAGAAAGTGCAAAGGGTTATGCGAATGCTGTTGCATTTTTAATTTTCTCACAATGTCAATTGTGCCCGCATAATGCTTTTGCACTTTCTGGGTGATAAAAATTAACTTTTTATCCGTGAAAAATTTTTCGGAACGGGTTGAAAATAGCTATTTCCTCTAAATTAAATGTCACGTATGGTTTTATCTTGTTTCATGAAGTATGACTTTTAACTCCATAAAAAGTATGGATTGAGTGAGGTCTACTCGAAAATGGATAGCTAAAGGAAGCTCGTAATTGGTTATAGAATCCCGACTAAATGTGGCGAAGGGGAAAAAAAAGCATTATAGACTGAGAAGAGCAAGAAAATATGAAAACAACAAGCAAAATTTAAAAACCAGAAAGCAGGGAATCCAATTTTCTTGCAACATATATATATTGGGTGGGCTACATAAATGAGGATTCGCATGGTGAGTTCAATCATTTTGGCTAATTAACCATGAAAAGCATATAAACATGAGTGCCTCTAAAATAATTCTCAGAAAATGCTTGAGCTTGATTTAGCCCTTCAACTTGGGTTAGGACTACAAAGCATAAGCTTCTTTTGAAATGCTTCCAACTTCGAAACAACATCCAATAAATTAATTTGTCGACGTTTTTTCACCTCGACTTTTCATTGTCTAAACATGTTATTGAGCAAATACTAGTGAGGCATTTTCACACCCCTTCTCCTAAAAATCCACCCAAAAGATTGTTTGGAATCATTTTCCAATTAATGTTTCAAAAGGCACAGCTTTACACCGAGTTCTAATAAATTGAATCCATAATCAAATCGAAGAAAAAAATAAAGTCCCCTTTCGTAGGCATATCCTGATATCCGTCAGAGACCAATAACATACCCCAGCTGACCCCAAAACCCAAGAACTTCGAAATTAGACCGCAGTTATATTCAAAATCAAGAATCGATTTTTTCCCTTTTTGCAATCAGATCTGACATAGAATACAAAACCCATAAACAAATTCCAAACATTAGCAATTATATACACAAATAGAATCAGCCCAGCAACAGATATATTAAAAAAATCAAAAACGTATTGGGTTTTTGCCCATAAACAATCAAGCCAAAAAATATTCATTTTTTTTTTCTTCTGAAAATAACAAAGAGAAGCAAGAACTAAATCGAACCATCGCCATCCTTGTCGAATAGGCTGAAGGCTTCCTTAAACTCAGAGATCTGATCATCTGTCAACTGATCCGCCATTTCTCCTTATTTCTCAGCTAAAAATATACCTAATTTCTGGGCTTCGAATCTCTCGAAGAAATGACAAAACAAGAAGAAAGAAATATAGTTAAGGAGATAATAAGCTCTCTGGTTTTTTGGGTGTTTTTGCAGAGGAAACAAAGGCAGCTTTATATATTATCAGCTAAAAATGATCGAACACGTGTGAGGAAAAGGACGCGGAATATTTTAATGGCGACGGATAAATATAGTAATTTTATCTACTAAAAATCCGTTGTAAATTTTCTTCTTATAGTCTTTTTTTTTTAAAAAATAAATATTATTTAGCTCCATTTTCTCTCTCCTCCATGAACACGACGCGTTTACGCGGTGCCAACGCGGACTCTCAGAGTTGGGCTCTAGGTCTCTAAACTCTAACCTCTGAATTTAGTTAGGAGCCCAATAACATTGGGCTTCTGTATTATGGGCTAGTAATTTATTTTATTTTTATTTTTATAAAAATACAGCAATAAACTATTTATAAACGAGTAATAAACTAAAAAATAGTGTCATTTTGGATCCAAGTAAAAAATACACCACAAATTAACCATCCATAAACAGTGAAAGTTAGTATAAGTTTAACTAAAAAAACTTCATAAACAATAATACATATTGATTGATAATTTTGGTAGTTGAAAGATATATAATAATTTGATAATTTTTATTTTTAATTGTGTTAGTGAGATTATAGAGAAGAAGCAAAAGCTACATATTACATATTATTATATTTGAAAAATTCAGTACTCTTTCAAGTTCAACCAAGAAAAGATTCAACTCTAGCGACCACATTGAAGTTTGAGTCGTCAGATCACACATACAGAGAACCGTAGTGACCACATTGAAGTTTGAGTCGTCAGATCACACATACAGAGAACCGTATGATAATGTACTGATCTAACGGCTCACATCCCTATCCATACCACCAAAATGAAATTTTCCCAATCTTTTTTTCTCTCTTTCATGTGTACAATCATTCATTTCAAGGAAAAACTCAAAACTTTCCGTTTTACTATTTGTATGTCTCACGTGCCTCACATCCCAATTCTCTCGTATTAACAATTAAAGAAGCTTTTGAATTGCCACCACATTGATCATTTAAAAAAAAAAAAAATCACTTGAATTCTCATTGTACTTCAAGAAATACCGAGTACAATTTCAATGGCTTAAAAGCACAAGAACAAACTATGTGCAATTTACTCTGCAAGAACACTCCTCCATATAACATACTTGAAAAAGAAGGGAAAAAAAAAAAGAATGAACAAAACAAGATTTCTCAATTCCCTCTATAAAATACCACGCAGTCCCAAGAACAAAAGGGAACTTAAAAATTCTAGACTTCAAAAACTTTCAAATGGCAAGACAGAACAACGAAAACAAAAAAAGCCGGGTAAAGGGTTCTCAAATAATCTCAAAACACATTTTTTTCTTTCTCCTTAACATTTTGCAGCCTTATTCTCCATCAGACTCACTCGAACTCGAGCTCGAGCTTGAGCTTGAACTCGAACTCTCGGATTTATTGCCTTTTCCTTTAACCGATGCAGTTGAACTCTCAGCAGCAGCAGAAGAGCTCACACACGAATCTACTTTCTCCGAGTTTTCATCATCTAACGATTTCTTCGCGCGCAAACTTGAACTTTGAGGATCAATAATTTCTTCAACACGGCGCAAGCCAGAAGTTTCTTGCTCGTCTCCCGAATCAACCGAGTCAAGATTTTCGCGAGTCTCTTCTACGGAATCAAGAATCGGTAAATCAAGCGTGGGGCCCACCACCAACTGCACGCCAGTTTCGTTTTCTTGAGAAATATTAATTACCCTCCGCTCATCTTCTTTCACTTCGGAATCAACAAGATTAGTATTAGCTTCATTTTCCTCATCAAGATTCTCAACATCTCGAGCTTCAATTTCTTTCGATTCATCATCTCCCTTATTCGGCAAACAATCATCATCATCATCATCATCACTATTATCTCGATAGCCTTTATTTTTCTCGGGAGTAAAATCATCCCGGGTCTCCATTTCATCAAATTCGTCGTTCTCAAAAGACGTTTTTGCCCCCCTCAAAATATTTTCGCCCCCTTCTTCATAATCTACGTGCTTTTCAGATTCGTTCGATTCCGAGCCAGAAGTGACGCTAAAATCACCCACGCTGTCTAATTCCGACAGTAAACCTCCATCATCGGTTTCTTCTTGTATAGTCTGCATATTTACGTGGGACCCAGCACTCGACGGCATGGAAATGAAATCTGGACTGTAAGGAGAGCCAAGGCTCGGCGAGGTCTCGTGATCGAGCTCGTAAATTTCCGGTATGTTGAGATTATGTATGGTTCGAACTCTCTCGTTCGACTCAACGGGTGTATTTGGAACCTACAATTTTGTGTTGAGATGCATTATGTGTGAAGAAAATCGAAATTCTAAACACGAAAACCGTTTAGCAAGGTACAAAATGTTCTTATTTCGAGCATTTTGCAGAAGCATTTCTGATTATATTCAAAAACTGCTAATTCAGAATGCCTAAACACAAACCTGTTGTTATATATTAAGACTCTAATGAAACCCAACAGCTAAACTTTCCTTTTTCATAAGCAACACAAATAGAGATTAGGACAAAACAACTACAACCTAATCACTGAAATAGAGAATCTGTATTCATTCAATATAAGCAAAAGAAAGAAAAAAATATTAAATATTTTTGAATTACCGGTACTTCCTCAGGATGGTCGAAATTTCGCTCGTGCATGGCAATGTAGTTAGAAAGAGTCGTGCTCCCTCCAGCCGAAGGTGTCGACACTAATTTCTCGTTCGCCTCTTGATAATCGCCACCAGAATCTGGCGACTCGACTTTTTCCCCCTCGTCATTATTGTTATCATCATTATCATTATCATTCACATGAATTTCCATTTTCGAATCTCCATCTCCACGCTCGTCTGCACGATTCTCCTCCTCCAAAAAAGACACCGTGCGCTTGACCACCACATGCGCCAGGCTGGCGCCAGGCTCGGCATTCACTTCAGAAGAAACAGAACACGACGACATATTTTTCCTAATCGAATGCGGGCTCGAATCATAAACGGGCTCCCTTTGCGGATTCTCGTCGGCTAATACACTCTCCTGCAAAACCCGAGCAGGCCCTTCGTTTTCTGATTCCGAACAAGAACCATTATCGACTCGTTTTCTTTTCGAGAGATCTTCTTCATCCGAGGAGGACTGGCTCCCATGCCCTATATGCTCCGAGACGTGATTCATATCCGAGATCAGCCGAGGTGGCTCGTTTATCGAATCTTCTTCTTCCTCGGTAGATTCTTCCGGAAGCTTCCGCTGGTCCTCCGATTTGACCGACTCCGTGTTTGAGTCGCCGCTCGACTGTCGGCCGAACGGAACGAAACCCGTCTCCGGGGGGCCAACAATCTCGTACGGGAAGACGTACTCGAAAGGGTTCCTTCTCTGCACGAGTACCGAGGGAGCCGAGCCGGGGGCATTTTCATCATTCGGGAGGTCGAACGGGTTTTTCCGAGCGGTCGAGACGGCCGGCGGCGGCGGAAGGAAATCCGAGCCGCTTCCCTCGAGGTCGATGAGATTGATCTCTGGCACCATGCTTACGTTCTTCCTCCGGCGTCTCAAGATGAGATTTTCGAGCCGTTGGTTCCTCTCGATTTCCGAGCTACCCAAGTCCATGAGATTCTTCTGGTCTTCGTCGGTCCACGTGATGGCCGATTTTGACTGCTCCTCCTCCTCGTCTTTATCTTCTTCATAATCCTCGATTTTGTCGATCGAGTCAATGCTGCTCGTGCTCGTGCTCGACTCGGAGGAGGCGAGGCTCGACGCGTTTTGCGAGATGAGGATTTGGTTCGACGAGTCCTCGTCGAGGAGAGGATGGAGCTCGTCGAGCATCGGCATCATGTCGGATGCCACGGATGGGTCGGGTGACGAGGTTACAGACGACCCGGAGTCCACGTCATCATCGTCCACATCATCATCGTCCACGTCACTTCCAACATGCTTCCAAGATGAATGGGGAGAGTTTGGCGAACCCAAGTCGGCCGCTTCCGAATCGAACGACCCCTCGTCGTCGTCCGATTTTCCGTCTTTTTCTTCGTTATCCTTTGGCGTGGATAAGTAGCGATTCTCCTCGACGAGTTTACCCTCTTCGCCGAGCCTCTCCTCGTCGCATTCCTCCCAAATTTCATCACTACCCGACTCGATTTTCTCCTCGACGTTCGAGCCATTAGACTCTCGGCCGATTTGGACGGTCGAAATTCGATCTAACCCATCATCCCTTTTGTCGGCACAATAACCGGGCTCGTTTTGCTCGACAAAAACGGCATCTCTAGACGAAACCTCGTTTTCGACAGGCCCCGTTTTTTCGTGCCTTTCGAAATCCGGTACGTTCGGCTGGGCGAAACTCAAGAAGGCCCCGAGCAAGATTGCGGTGCATATCAGTACAGGGGAAGCAGTGACCAGAAGAGAGAAAACAAAAGGGAATGTTCTGTGCAGAAAAATCAAGAAACACAGATTGCACACAAGCAATGGGTGATTGCGGGCAGATCTAAAACACTCTCTGATTGTAAAGATCGCACTTTTTTTCAATTTGGAGATTCCAATGTCCGAGAATAGGACACCCATTTTGTTCGAGCACCTCAAATTTCTCAAATCTGCCCTGATGTAAAAGAACTTTTGGGGAAATTAATGATATTACCCATCCACGCACAAAAACAAGAAGAATCGATGAATGTGATTATATAGGTCAAGAATAATCAGATCAAATTTCATTCAAACAAGAGAATAATTAGAGAGGAGCTAACTGTACCTGCTTCAAACAGAGATCAATTCCCACGAGAGGGAACAGAAATGAAAATGGCCCAACAAGTGTAAGCTTGAATCGTTTTTGCCTTTTGCACACATTTTATATGCAAAAGCTATATATGACGATAATTAAAAGCGTGCTAAAGCAAAGAGGAATTTGGTGGATTTTGGGGGCCAACCTAAAAGAAGAAAGATGTGACAAAAAGGGGAAGTTTTTAGGATTAGTTTTGTTTCCATGTATGCTCTTTTCCATTTTGGTTAGTTAATGGATTATAGATTTCCTATATTTATATTTATTCATTTTCAAAAATATTTAATGCATATTGGTAAATCTAGCTCAAAAGCTAGCGGATACCTTATTAAAAAATTTTGAGTTTATGAGATAAAAGTATTTGATAAAATTTTATCTGCTAAATTAAAAAGGTAAGAACCAATATTCCACCAACCATTACATACAGATAAGAACTAAATAATGGTCTTTTAAGTTGATGTCTAAACAATTATTTTTTCTGTTAAAGCTTTTAGTTTTCAGGTATAGACGAACAACTAGGTCGTTAATGAATGAACTGTTGTAAAAAGTGGACTAACATGTTGTAAAATGTGGAATAACAATTTGTACAAAAATGACTATGAATAGTAAATTGTGTAGGATTGTCAAATGAGGTGGGCAAAATTTTACCTATAAATACATGCTCAACTCATTATGTACATACACACAAAAAATACATTGAAAGAAAGAAGAGAAAGAAATAATAAAGGAAAAATTTATATTCGGTTTCTATATTTTATGTTATCGATTTTTCCGTTTTTATAACACGTTATCAGCACGAGCGCTCTACCCGGTCAAGAAGGTATGAATATAATAGTTATATATATATATACATATGTATATATATATTACATAAAATTACTATATTTGACTAATCCATATATTACCATTATTATTGGCAAGTAAGGTTTTGCCATAGTCAATAATATGTGGTAAGATGATATTATTAAATTTACTTATGAATTACTATTGATTATGAAAAATAACTTCAAGTTATAATATTTGTACATAATATTATTAATTGTACTTCACACCCACAAAATGGTTTACCAAATTATGTGGCGTGAAATTTATATCTACTTATTCTTGTACCCACCGAAAGATTTATCGAGTAGTGTGGAGTGACATTTTTTTATTTGTTTTGTTACCTATATTCACTAAATTGTTCACATAGTGACTCGAAATATTTTTAAAATAATATACAAGATTAATTAGAATTTTATAATCATGAATGATTAACTAAGAATTATTACATCATTAATTTGTTCCTAACGGCTAGTTAACGGCTACATAGTAACGGCTATTTTTCAATCTCTCTATATATAACACTACACTTCACATATTAACACTCATTCCAAAAATACCAAAATTTATTCCCCTCAAACGAAAAAAAAAAAAAAAATGTTTCATCTTACCGATATATTATTTATTATAAGCGTTTCGTTAATGTTCACGATGATGTATCATTCTACTGGATTTAAAATTTATGTATTAAGTATTTGTATAATGTGTTTAGTACTTGCTCTTATGTATGTTGTGAAGAATGAATGATTATATATGTAATTTTCTTTATTGGTTATTAAATCTAAGCATTGATGTTGTATTTTATAGTTACCATGTCGAATCTGGTAAAGCTCGAGTTTGAGGCACTTGACATCTCTGGAAAAAATTATATTTCATGGACTTTGGATGCTGAAATTCATTTAGATGCCATGGGATTGGGAAAAACAATAATTTCTCCAAATGATTCATCCCTACAAGAAAAAGCAAAAGCCATGATTTTTATAAGGCATCATATGAATGAGGGATTGAAAAATGAATACTTAACTATCAAAGATCCAGCAGATCTTTGGAAAGCATTGAAAGACAGATATGATCATCAAAAAACAATTATTCTCCCTCGGGCACGTCATGAATGGATGTCGTTACGTTTCCAAGATTTTAAAACAGTAAACGAATATAATTCAGCAATGTTTCGAATTTGCTCAGTGCTGAAATTATGTGGGGAAACGGTAACTGACTATGATATGTTGGAAAAAACATTGTCCACATTCCATGCATCCATGGTACTTTTGCAACAACAATATCGAGCAAAAGGCTTTGAGAAATATTCTGAGCTAATTTCTTGTTTGTTGCTGGCTGAACAAAATAATCAGCTTTTGATGAAAAATCACGAATCTAGACCCACGGGGTCTACTGCGGTTCCTGAGATAAATACTGTAATATCTAAACAGGGACCCAAAAATGAAAACAGTCATAATTATGGACGTGGATATAACTCAGGTCGTGGTCGTGGCCGTGGACGTGGACGTGGTCGTGGATATGGACGAGGCCGAAATTTTTACCCAGGATACAAATCTGGCCGAGGTTACTATCATGGAAAAAACGATGCCCAAAATTATGAAAAGAGGGGAAATTTTCAGAAGCATTCTGAAAATAATAAAGGGGATGAAAAAGTTGTGAAAAATAACGATGAAAAAGCATGTTATCGATGTGGCAGAAATAACCATTGGGCTCGAAATTGTCGAGCCCCAAGACACGTGGTTGAAAGATACCAGGATTCCCAAAAATCAAAAGAGAAGAATATTGAAACTAATTTTATGGTGGGGGAATCTTCCGGAAATGAACCGATACTTGCAGAAAATGACTATAACATCGACGACATGCTAAGGATGGATTTTGATGATGCAGTGTTTGGGGAAGCAACTGCAAATAATGAAGAATAAATGATGATCATGTTTGTTTTATGTATTAAGTATGATTGTAATACTGTTTGAAACATTGTTATATGTATTTTGGAAATTGATGAATAATATTTTTCATTTTTTTGTTGTTGTTTTAGATCATGGAACAATCCCGAATCCAAAATGGAGATTTATGTCTCGCAGATTGTGCCACTACTCACACTATACTAAAAGACAGAAAATATTTTGTTCACTTAGAAACAAATAAAGCTAATGTGAACACAATATCAGGAAGTGCAAAAATAATTGAGGGGTCTGGGAAGGCCATATTTTTTTATGATGGGTGGTACAAAATTTATAGTGAATGATGCATTATTTTCCCCAAAATCAACTAGAAACTTGTTGAGTTTTAAGGATATCAGAATGAATGGATATCACATTGAAACAATGAATAAAGGGGGAGCTGAATATCTTTGCATTACCTCAAATATTGCGGGAAACAAATATGTTTTGGAGAAGCTACCCGTTTTATCCTCGGGTTTATATTATACCCGCATTAATATAATCGAGGTTTATGCTACAGCCAATTCAAAGTCGAAAGGAATATTTAAACTTTGGCATGATCGACTTGGCCACCCTGGCTCGATAATGATGAGAAGAATTATTGAAAATTCTAATGGCCATCCATTAAAAAATCAGAAGATATTGCAAACGCATGAATTGGCATGTGCTTCATGTTCTCAAGGAAAATTGATAGTAAGACCATCACACACAAAAATCGGACATGAATCACCATTATTTTTAGAAAGGATTCATGGTGATATATGTGGACCTATTCATCCACCTTGCGGTCCATTCAGATATTTTATGGTGTTGATTGATGCCTCTAGTAGATGGTCTCATGTGAGTTTGTTATCAACTCGAAATATGGCATTTGCTAAATTACTCGCCCAACTTATAAAGTTAAGGGCTCAATTCCCAGATTATATTATTAAAAAGGTCAGACTTGACAATGCTGGTGAGTTTACATCTCAAGCATTTAATGATTATTGTATGGCAGTGGGAATTGATGTTGAACATCCTGTGGCACATGTTCATACTCAAAATGGTCTAGCAGAATCATTGATTAAACGATTGCAGCTCATAGCTAGACCATTAATAATGAGAACAAAGCTTCCTGCTTCAGTATGGGGACATGCTATTCTGCATGCAGATGATCTAATTCGAATAAGACCAAGTGCATACCATACATACTCGCCATTACAGTTGGCATATGGTCGAGAACCAAATATTGCACATATAAGAGTTTTTGGTTGTGCAGTGTATGTACCAATTGCTCCGCCCCAACGTACAAAAATGGGGCCTCAAAGAAGGTTGGGAATATATGTTGGATATGAATCTCCATCGATAATCAAATACCTTGAGCCAAAAACAGGTGATGTTTTTACAGCTCGGTTTGATGATTGTCATTTTAATGAAGAATTGTTTCCCCCCTTAGGTGGAAATGAAAAATTAATTGAGAGAAATATTGAATGGAGTACATCATCACTATCATATCTTGATCCTCCCACCAAACACAGAGAACAAGAAGTTCAAAAGATCATACATATGCAGAATATTGCAAATCAATTGCCAGATGCGTTTACTGATATAAAAAGGGTGACCAAATCACATGTGGCAGCTGTAAATGCCCCTGCTCGAATTGAGATTCCAAAAGAAATGGCAAATGATGATATGCCAAATGAGTCAAAGACACGCCTGAAACGAGGAAGACCAATTGGGTCTAAAGATAAGAATCCTCGAAAGAAAAGAGAAATTAATGACCCAGATTTGAAAAAGAATGAAGATGATGGAAAAGTTTCGGGACAAAATGAAAATATTGAAATTTCCATCAATTATGTAAATAATAGGAATCTTTGGAAACGTGATGAGATCATAAATATTGATGACGCGTTTTCATATATGGTATCGAAAGAAATTAATAATGAAGTTGAGGATCCTGAACCAAAATCTGTAATTGAATGTCAGAAAAGGCATGATTGGGATAAATGGAAAGGCGCCATCCAAGCAGAGTTAGATTCACTTAATAAACGAAAAGTTTTTGGGCCTATTTCCATTATACCAAAAGGCATAAAACCTATTGGATACAGATGGGTTTTTACCAGAAAAAGAAATGAGAAAAATGAGATCACGAGATATAAAGCTCGCCTTGTAGCACAGGGATTCTCCCAAAGGCCTGGGATTGATTACGATGAAACATATTCCCCTGTCATGGATGCAATTACTTTCAGATACTTGATGAGTTTAGCTATCCATGAAAATCTTGAAATGCGTCTCATGGATGTTGTAACTGCTTACTTGTATGGATCATTAGACACAGACATATATATGAAAATTCCAGAAGGAATCAAAATGCCCGAAGCACTGAAATCCAAACCTAAAGAGTTATGTGCGTTAAAGTTGCAAAGATCATTATATGGTTTGAAACAATCTGGGCGTATGTGGTATAATTGTTTGAGTGAACAATTACTAAAAAGGGGATACTTGAATGATCAAATATGTCCGTGTGTTTTTATAAAGAAATCACATGATGGGGTTGTGATAATTGCTGTCTATGTTGATGATCTTAATATTATTGGGACAAAAAATGAAATTCGAGAAGCAGTCACTTTTCTGAAAGGCGAATTTGAAATGAAAGATCTCGGTAAAACCAAATATTGTCTTGGCTTACAGATAGAGAGAGTACAAAATGGGATATTCGTCCATCAATCTAACTATACTAAAAGAGTACTGAAACGATTTAATATGGACAAAGCTAATCCCCTTAGTACTCCGATGGTTAATCGAACATTGGATGTTGAAAAAGATCCATTTCGACCTTGTGAAGAAAATGAAGAAATACTTGGTCCTGAGGTACCATATATGAGTGCAATAGGAGCTCTGATGTATCTTGCTAATTGCACTAGACCAGATATATCTTTTGCTACCAATTTATTAGCGAGATATAACTCGTCACCTACGAGGAGACACTGGAATGGAATCAAGCATATATTCCGTTATCTCCAAGGAACAATCGATCTGGGATTATTTTACTCTAATGATAAAAAACATGAAATGATTGGTTTTGCAGATGCAGGATATCTATCAGACCCACATAAAGGGAGATCTCAAACTGGCTACGTATTCACTATTGGTGGAACTGCATTTTCTTGGCATTCTCAGAAACAAACACTAGTTGCTACATCTTCAAACCATGCTGAAATCATTGCACTGCATGAAGCAACTAGGGAAAGCATATGGCTCAGAAACATGACTCAACACATTCAACAAGCCAGTGGATTATCGAATAATAAAGATCCGACGGTGATATTTGAAGACAATGCAGCATGCGTCGCTCAAACCAAAGAAGGGTACATTAAGAGTGACAGAACCAAACATATCCCGCCAAAGTTCTTCTCATACACTCAAGAGCTTGAAAAGAACAAACAGATCAAGATTCAATACATCCGATCAAGTGATAACGCAGCAGATTTATTTACGAAGGCGCTCCCAACTACAACATTTCGAAAGCATGTCTATAACATTGGAATGAGACATCTTCGAGATCTGCACGGATGATAACTCGAGGGGGAGCATGTGCGGCTGTACTCTTTTTCCCTTATCTCGGTTTTTTTCCCACAGGGTTTTTTCGAATAAGGTTTTTAATGAGGCAGCATAAACGCACACTACATAGTACCTGAAGGTCACACGATATAATTCCTCATGATGACAAGAAGACACTGGAGTAGTTGTACTCTTTTTCCTTCGATCAAGTTTTTTTTCCCACTGGGTTTTCTTGACAAGGTTTTAACGAGGCAACACGTGGATACTCCATTAAAGATGACCTAATTGAGGGGGAGCAATGATGCGCTTCAATAATGCTCAGGCTTTGTCCCACCGGGTTTTCCTGACATGCTGAATAACTAATGTACATTTTATAATTGTTAGTCCAAGGGGGAGTGTTGTAAAAAGTGGACTAACATGTTGTAAAATGTGGAATAACAATTTGTACAAAAATGACTATGAATAGTAAATTGTGTAGGATTGTCAAATGAGGTGGGCAAAATTTTACCTATAAATACATGCTCAACTCATTATGTACATACACACAAAAAATACATTGAAAGAAAGAAGAGAAAGAAATAATAAAGGAAAAATTTATATTCGGTTTCTATATTTTATGTTATCGATTTTTCCGTTTTTATAACATGAACAATTTATTGTTCTTTTGTTACTTAAAATTTTCTTAAAGAAGTTTAATATGTTCTAATTAATCAACATTTTTTTTAGGAAGTTTTTTGGTACACTTTATGTTCTTACAGTTTTATTTATGTTCATGAAGTCCATTATGACGATACATTAAACAACAGATATGGCAATTTGTTTATCAATAAGACACAACTAGTTCACCATCAATGTTGTTTGTTTATAAACAACCAAGTAAATGTAAAAACTAGCATCAAGCAACATGATAAATCGCACATGTATATCAAGTTGTGTTTTAAAGCATAGTTTGTGCTTGTTTATAACTAAAGCTCANCTTGTTCGGTTGTAATTTTTAAAAACATGTATTTTGCTGCTCATCGGTTTCGTCTTCAGGGTCCGTTCTGACATTTCGTCAAACATCTAATGTGTTTCTTTATTATAAAAAAACAATATCAATGAATTATCAAGATTAACAAAGACAAATTCACATTACAACATTCATCGTATCTATGTCTTATAACTCACGGATGTACAACAAATCACGAATGCACATTACCACATGATTGGACGGTAATCTGAAAGAAAAACAAGAAATTGAAAACAAATTTCACATAATGTTGTTCTTCAAATATTGAATCTGAAAACAAATTTTTTACCTTCATGTTGTTCTTCAAATGTCAAATCTTAGAACGTCTTTTTCCGATCTTATATTCCTGAGTGTTTTCTTGTAAAACAAAAAACAAATTTGCAGAAGATCTTTCGAAATAAAACTTTGGATTAATTGTTGTTTATTTGAGATATATAATTTTGATTAGGCCAAATGTTAAGATTAGAAAAGTTCTAATACCTTTTAAGTAAATTAGTTAATAATTTATAATATTTTTTTTATTTTCTTTTTAAATAAGGACATTTTCATATTTACAATAAGCATTTTATTTATTTTTTATTTATTTTATTAAAAAAAAAACACATGACATTCATTTAAGAGGTACATGTTGTTAACTAGTACAAGCAAAATTACAAGTAGAATTACCTTTTTTGTTTTAAAGTAATCGCAGCTTTTGTTTTCTTCTCTCTCTTCATCTTCCTCCTCTTTTTCTTCGATCTGTAAATATCAGACTCAAACCCTAGCAACAAAAATGGATATCCTTTATGCCGTCGCCAGGCAAACTGACTTCTCCTTGAAGCTGGCCGAGCAATTCATGTCGACCGGAGACAACAAGAACGGCAACTTCGTGTTCTCGCCCTTACTCGTGCACATTGCTTTGAGCATGATCGCATTCGGGTCGGGCGGGCCGACCCGAAACCAGCTTCTGGACTTCCTCCGGTCCAAGTCCATCAATGAACTTGAATTGCTACTTTCGCAGCTTTTTACCCCGATGTTGAACGACAGAGGATCTTTGGGCGGGCCCCGTTTGTCGTTGGCCAACTGCGTTTGGGTCGATCGGAGACTTACCTTGAAGCCGGCTTTCAAAGAATTCGTCGTGGAATCTTGTAAGGCTACTCTTAAAAGTGTTGATTTTCAGTCTAAGGTTAGTTTACATCGATGATTGATCCCTAATTTCAATTTTTTCCCCCCACCCTGTAAATTGTCTTTAGTTCATTTGGTTGTATGTTTGTGTTATACATGTTTTATGCTTAGTCTTTTAGTTATACATTGAGCACTCATAGTTATACATGACTTTGATTCATTTGGTTATGTCTTGAGTTATACATGTTCTGTGTTCAGTCTTTTGGATTACACCAATCATATGTATACATTGATCACTCATAAGTTTCAACTTTATTTTATTTTATTTTTTCTATATCCCATGTAAGTGTCTTTAATTCATCTGGTTGTTTAAGTTATAAAGGCTTGTGTCCAGCTTTTGGATTACAGACAAATCATTGCAATCTTTCAAAGCTTTTTATCTGGACAAAATATTTATATTTATACCTATAGGCCAATGAGGTAGAAAAGGAAGCAAATGCATGGGTAGAGGAGAAAACAAATGGCCTAATCGAACAAATACTACCACCTGGCTCGATTGACCATTTTACGAAGCTTATCCTTGCCAATGCACTCTATTTCAAAGGAACCTGGGTCAATCCATTCCACAAAATGCTGACGAGTGACCGTGAGTTTTTCCTTTTGGACGGTAGCTCTGTTCGTGTGCCCTTCATGACAATGCAAAAGTCCCAATACTATCGTGCATTTGAGGGCTTCAAAGTCCTAAGGCTTCCATACAAGAACGGGCGTGATAGCGAGCAAAAGTTCTCGATGTACTTTTTCCTTCCGGAAGCCAGAGACGGCCTCCCGTCTCTAGTTGACAAGGTGGGTTCGGCTTCCGGGTTCGTAGAGCGCCACTCCCCTTACGAACTGGCGTTTCTAGATAGCTTTTTTATCCCAAAGTTCAACATAAGTTCGGATTTCGAAGCGTCTAAGGTTCTCAAGGAGAAGGGATTGGTTCTTCCTTTCTCGCCAGGTGGCTTGACCGAGATTGTTTGTGAGTTGAGTGAAGGTGAGGAACTTTACGTGGAGGGATTGTTTTGTAAGTCGCGCATAGAGGTGGACGAGCATGGGACGGAGGCTGCTAGTGCTTGTGTTCTTTCTATAAGTGGGGGTGGGTGTGGGTTTTATGAGAGAAAGGAGTTTGTGGCTGACCATCCTTTCATGTTTGTGGTGAGGGAAGATGTGAGTGGTGTGGTGTTGTTTGCTGGCCAAGTGCTTAATCCCCTCTCTTCTACTTAGTGGTGCATTGTGTGAAGATGATGATGATCATGCAATTTCATCACAATTACTATATATGTATTGCTATGCTTGGATATTATAACTTGATCCCCTCTCTACTACTTAGTCGCATGATATATGAAGATGATCATGCAATTTTCACAATTTTCATATGCTATGCTTAAGACTTGAAACAGAAATAAAATGTCAATATATTATTATTATTGTTGTTGTTGTACTTCTTTTTAATCCACCTATTTTTATGAGAGGTGGGTGTTAATTACGATCTCGGCCCATTCGTTGGACATAAGGGATGGGATGTCTTGTTCATATTATTCGCATTTCATTTTTTGGGTCTTCGATGGGATTCGAAACATATGGGCCGTAGGCCTAGATGTCGGCCCTTGTCGATTCACGAAACCGTAGCGTTGATATGCGAATAGATCGTTGTTGTCGATATACAGATCCAGTGTGAAGACCAAGTGGCAAATCGAACAGCCCAATGAATTTCCCCGAGATGTGAGCATAAGTATTAGAATTTAGATAATCGGGGCAAGAGGGTGCGGTTCCACGCAGATGAAGCACACCATAAGAGGGTGAGCCTAAGTACATCATAGTGAGGTTCCATTCCAAAATCAATTGGTGATGCGAGGAGTAGTTCACTAAATTTATATACTATGTTCATTTATCCTGTAGAATTAATGTGAAACGACTTACAAGTGATATTCCAACAATAAGTTACGCTGTTAGATGGCATGATCATTTTTGTGCCATGATGACATTCTTGTATAGGGTTGTATAAATATGTCGAATTGTACCCCATGGTGGACCATGAAACATTCGACATTCAAGAATAACACACTCATAACAATAACTACATCATCTTCACCGCCGATCTTATCGCTTTGACGATCTGAAATAACTATGTATTATACGTTTCTAATCCATGATTTTTTTACGAAACACGCTCGATAGTTTATTATCATCAATAAATTGGTGCTAAAGAAGGGCTGCAGTGGGTTTGGTGAAACTTCGCCTTGCATAAGCTAAAAATTATTCAAGCCAAAATGTCTTCATCAAATAATCCAAGCGGCAATCAAGACCATCATAAGGATAATACTTCTCCTCCCACTAATTTCGATTACAAGTTATTTATATTTATCCTTTTATAAATTTTATGTCATAGTATTTTTATTCGCTACATTTTATTTTTATATCAATTCAAAAATCCTAAAACTATTTCATTTTTATAAAAATAAAAAATCTACTGTTTAACTCTGATATTTTTTTCATTAAAACTATTTTTTGATTTTTACAACTCCTTACAAAAATGTAACGAGTCTGTGGAAAATTGAAATTACGGTTGTTCTAGCGCCACGCCCGCGGCCGACCGCTCCCACACCGCTTTTATAGCCCCCAATCCACTGACGCCGGATTTCTCAAACCCACGAAGAAACGATCAATCTGAGCAAGGAGGAGATCAAGCACGCTTTCCGGAATTTGGCGATGAAATTCCACCTGAACAAGCAGTGATGGATCTGAGAATTTTATTTAGGAACCCGATTTTAAATGTTAAATAACGAGCTCGTAGTTTAAGTCAAAACACTTATTTCATATAAAAATGTATTTACAATAAATATATAAATATCGACATGTTTACCATGAAGTTTTAAATACTTAAAATCCGTACTAACCTCAATTTTTTTTAAGAAAAAAATGAGATTTCAGTAATTATAATTTAAGTTCAACAACCATAATATATGGAAAAATAATTTTATTTATTTTTATTTTTTTTAAAAATTGATTTAAATTGAACTTTTGAAACACATTGCATAATATTTTTGTTAATGAGAGCTTATTAGAACATTTTTTAAGAATAAAATAAACAAGTAAAAAATATATGATTACACAAAAAATGTAAAAATCAACATTAAAAAATGTAACAGTCAAACTAAATACTCGATTTTATAAATCATTAAATTAATTTACAATTAAGAGACTAAAAGAGTAAATCATTATAAATAATTTTACAACTTATCTAGAAATGTTAAATATAAGGATTGTTAGCATATTTTTCAATAAATAAATAATAATATTAATTGAAATTAAAATAGCATAGAAAATAAATGTTAATTATTCATATGTTGTAAATATTTTTTGTCTTTCTATATATAAGTATTAATTATTATAAATAAGAAATATTTACATGTTTACTACAACATAAATGTGACATTCAAAATAAAATCATATATAAAGTATCATACGAGTCATAAACCAAGAAATAATGGAATCTATCTATATATATATATATATATATATAAAGGTTTGATTATTTTTTAAATAGTAACTATATCCCTCCAAAAATAAAAATTTATTTATTATTTCGGAAAATTAATTTGACAATTTATGGAATATATCAAATGATCACTTATGGAAATTGCGGCTCATTATTTAAGGAAGTATTTAAACTATATTTCAAGATACTTTAATTACTCAAATCAAGTGAATTAATTAGTATATGGTATAAAGTGAACGGAATTATTTTTGGTATTGTGGTTATTTATATAGGAAATATATTAATCAATATATAGTATAAAGTGAGAAAATTTATTTAGGTTATTTGATGACTGTTTTTGGTAGGAAATTTGTTGAAAAATTAATCAATATACGGCGTACTTTTTTCCGCAATGAGCAAGCCAAGATATTGAATTTTTGGCGTGAGTTTCAATTTTTCGTATGAATTTAACATAATAAACTTACCGTAACTCCGACAAAATAATATGAAAGGATATTTTGATATAATGTGTTGTATCGATGTTTCTTGTATAGAAAAAGCTCTGGTAATTTTTATTTTTTTTTGTTTTTTATAATTAGTGGGTTTCGATTTATTTCATTTTTTGTTACGACATTTCAAATAATATTTGTGTGAAACGCATAGTTCATTTTTTTTAGCATGATAAGGAGTGTCGATTTTGTTGGCATAAAAAACCTTATGACTGATTGTTTTTACTCAACTACTTAAATATTTTGATTTGAATATTTTATACAAAATTAAATTCATATTAATTATTGAAACAATATTATTCACATAGCTTTTTAAATATATAATAAACTTTACCAAAATAATTATTTTATTAAACCACGTTATAGTCAAATCGAATTTCTGAATAAAAATTTTGAAATGACACATATTTTGAAATTAATATAATGTAATTTATTATCTATTATGTGCAACTCGGGTTGTGTACTAATTTTAAATAGGCATTTTTATGTAATTTTGCATTATTTAAAATTTCTGTAAAATTATCAATGAATTAATATAGGTACATTGTATTACATATTGATTCCATATTTTTAATTTATAATTTTATTTAATGAAAATTTTTAATTTATAAATATTAATAAATATCGCTTACCCGTGCATCGCACGGGAATCGTACTAGTTTAGAAATAAAAAATAATCTCTATTAAATCAATCATTCATAAACCGTATAACTGCAATTAAAATAAAAATTTCGTAATGTGTAAATAGAATGAGATTTGAAGGTAATGTTTAATTTTCTTTTTTGATTAATTGAATATATTAGTTGTGGCCATTAATTAGGCCGCTCTTCAATCGTCCATTGCCAACGGTTTTAGCCCAATCCAAAAAGAACCGTGCATGCTCTTCGTGATCTTGACACTTACTCTTCATTATCATTGATCAAATCATTAATATCACCAAATTAATTTCATAGAATTTAAATCATATTTTCAACTTCTGACCCTGTCTCTTCCTTATCACCAAAAAAATATTACATATTATAAAATGATAATTTCTTATCTGCCAAAACCTATAAGTATAAATATCGACACTTATGCAGTCACATATTCCACATATTTTCTTAACTATATTCTCACTTGCTAGCAACAACAATGGATATCCTTCATGCCATCACCAAGCAAATTGACTTCTCCTTCATGCCTTCGTGGATATCTTTTGAATTACACCAATCATATGTATACACTGATCATAAGTTTGTGTCCAGTCTTTTGGATAACACCAATCATATGTCTTCCTAGCAATCTTTCAAAATTTTTGATCTGGACAATACGTATATTGTTTTACGTAGGCCCGATGAGGTAGAACAGAGAGTGAATGCATGGGCCAAGGAGAAAACAAATGGCCTAATCAAACAAGTACTACCACCCGGTTCTGACTAATAATCTTACAAGGCTTATCCTTGCCAACGCACTCTACTTCAAAGGAACCTGGAACAATTACTTCCATAAACAACTAACAAGAGACCGTGAGTTTTTCCTTTCGAACGGTAGCTCTGTTCGCGCGCCTTTCATGACGGCCCACGGGCCCCAATACTGTCGTGCATTTGAGGGCTTCAAAGTCCTAAGGCTTCCATACAAAAACGGCCGTGATAGTGAGCACAAGTTCTCGACGTACTTGTTTCTTCTGGAAGCCAGAGACGGCCTCCCGTCTCTAGTTGGCAAGTTGGGGTCGGTTTCCGGTTTCATACAGTGCCACGTCCCTTACGAACGGGTGCTTCTAATAAGAGAATTTTTCATTCCAAAGTTTAAAATAAGTTCGGGGTTTGAAGCGACTGAGGTTCTCAAGGGGCATGGATTGGCTCTTCCGTTCTTGCCAGGTGGCATGACCGAGATGGTTCGGGAGTCGGGTGCCGGGAAGGAACTCTTTGTGACGGGCGTGTTTCAGAAGTCGTGCATCGAGCATGGGACGGAGGCTGCTAGTGCTTTTGCTATTATGTTTGGGGGTGGCCGTGGACCTTATGAACCAAAAATGGATTTTGTGGCTGACCATCCTTTCATGTTTGTGTTGAGGGAAGATGTGAGTGGTGTGGTAAGGATTTTCAAAACGGAGACTTTAAGGTATAATAAGGATGCGGGTAGAAGGCATTTCTATAATGTCTTATGGCATCTCATTTTTTTTATAGTTGTACATGTTAATGATGACTTTAGTTTTTCTATAATTTATTATTTTGTGTTAAATATAAATTGGTTAATTGTCCTGATGATTTGTCAATTGAAATTTCACATTCTTAAAAAAAAAAATCATCTTTTAAGTAAGTATAGCTAATATTGGAAAGAGCATCTCACTTTAAATTGAAAATCTTGAGTTGAAATGAATTTAAAGTTCTACTTATGACAAAGTATTGCATGAGAATTTATTGGTAAAAACTTCTTTTTTAATTTTATTTTCTTTGTGATGTTTATTATATTTCTTAAATTATTTTTGCTTACCAACCAGCCCAGGGTCCTTTTTTTTCCTGGCTACGCCACTGTTTGGTGGACATCAGCAGTAGCCTACCTGAAGGTACATATATTGTCTTTTTTTTCCATTGACATTTGCAATATTTTGTTTATAGCAAAATAATAATAATAATAATAATAATAATAATAATAATAATAATAATAATAATAATAATAATTAAAAAAAAAAAGTGGTTACTTAGGAGGTGGATAATTGGGAGGATTCTCCAAAAGACAGCATATACCCATTTTGAAGGGTTTGAGGAATTAGAAGATTGGGAGCATACAGCGTAGGCTTCTGAGTGTGTGCTGTAATAAGCAGTTGAGCATTGGGAGCCCATTCTCCATTGTTACTCAATAATGAGAGAAAATTAAGGAGGAGATATGAAAAGAAAATACTTCAACTTGTGGTGTTTTAACTTTTAGTTGAAGGAGAAAAAAATAAAAATAAAAAAAGGGAAAGAAACGAAATTGAAAAAGGAATTGACGGTCGTAAGGTGACCTGATCAAGGAGTTAAATTATTGATGTCACATTTATATAACAAGTTAGGAATATGTTGAAGAGTAATAATATAGGACTTATCTGGTGCAATTAAACTAGGTGAGGGGGACTCTTTCTCTACATGTGTAGAAGTATATTCGAAATTACTAAAATAATAAGCACAAGATCTACATTCCACTACACCTCATTAGAAACAAATAAAATGAAAAGAACATACTAGGAAATTTATAAATAAATTTGGTTAATATATAAAATAATTGTATGCCATCCAAATAATTTCATCCTCAATTTGTTTTTTCATTTAAATATGGAACTAACAATTATATTTTTCTTCATAATAATATTTTATTAATCATTCTATCATATTATAACTACTACTAAAATTAACTAAATATAAATCAATATTAAAATATTTATAAAAGTTAAACACTTGTTAAGTTGTTATAACATTCTATAATAAAATTTAATTGAGTAGTGGCCGTTTTTGATTTATTGTGAGTGAGTTGTATATATAGGTAAAAGGAAAAAAGTAAAAACGATTGTTAACAATTTTTTTTGTTGTTTCGTAGAGACGTCTAGTGGTTTGTGCAGAGTACATTTATATATAAGTGAGTGTAAGGTGAAAAGTGAACTCGTACAAGTCAACTTGTATAGGCAAACAATATATAGTTTTATAGGGCATCGATGCATTATTACTTAATTGTTAGGCGTATGTATACAAGTCATACAGATTTCGGCAGTTTATACTTTGGAGAAAACCACATGGTGTTTGTTGTTGATCTAATCGTGTTTGGTATTGTTCGAGTGTACAGATACCAATTTTTGTGACTTAAAATGTACAATGCTACAAGTGTTAGTTTCATGCTGTAATATATATACTTGGTGGGGTTTATGTGCAAGAGCTGATTATTGTAACATGGTACTTTTTAGGTGCCCCTAAACTTTGGCTAATTCAACTTCGTATTTCAGGTTTCGAGCCATGTGCGTGTGTATTGATCACACGGCTCAAACCCCCAGTGAAATTCAACCCTAAAAACTTTCCTGTTTATGTATTTAGTTTTATATATTTGGCAATTGAAGCCTTTTTTTGTTATACTTCTGCTTGGCGAATGCCTTCTTAACCGGCTGACAGAAGATCGGTCGAATCCCGAAAGCACGGGAATCGTTGGGCCCTTTTGACTATAAAATAAGGTCTTTGCTTGACTCATAAATTCACGTTAAAATTTTTGTTGCTCTCATGACAAATGAATCATTTTGACTGATCCACCTAGGCAAACAAATTTTTATTGAGTTGATGCATTGAAAATGATACTTTGAGCCAAATTTTTAGTATTTTCTCATAAAATATAGATTAACATTGCAATCGTTCATTCACATGCGTCCAAACTCCAAAATTAATATTTATTAAAAGCATAACATTTGAGATGCTCTTACGCTAAAACCGAGGTTGACAATATGGGCGGTTCGATTTTGGTGGACCATTTCAAGAACAAATTGGGTAGGGCAGGGTTCGTCCCGTTCTGGACCTGTTTCATGAACGAAGTCCAAATTCTAGAGTTGGCTTGTATGCTATAAAGGAAGTCCAAAAAAAAAATTAATCATAAAAGTAAGCCATTTTTACATGTTTACTACAGTTTTTAAAAAACTAGTGCAAAATACGACATTAAAAATAAAACCAAGATCTGAACATCTTCATCAGAGGGGGGATTGTCATCATAACTCACTCTTTTGCAATCATTATGGAGAGTTTTATGCGTAATTTGGTAACGGAGGTCGCTCTCTAGTTTAAGGGCGGCGATCTGCACAGCCTCATTACAGAGAGTTTTATTCGTAATTTGGTAATGGAGCTCGTCCTGTCTTAAGTTATTGCTAAGACGTGTGAATACAGCAGGAGCATTTGAACTAAGCTCGGCGCGAGATTCAGCTTGGTTTTGCCATACTCGCTCTTGATGTTTGATGTATATTTTTTTTTTAATTCAATACATGTGTAGTACGTGAATGTTGTATTGGTATTCAATTTATCATAAGAGAAAATTAAAGACTATCTTCAAATCTCATTTTATTTACACAAGTTTTTAATTTTTATTATAATTGTAGTTAGACTAGATTTTACCCTTTAGTCAACTTTTGTATATATGGTATAAATACCAAATCAAAGTATCAAACACAAATTGTAAACCTATTGTAGTTCTAGTTAGACTATATTTTACCTTTTAGTCTACTAGATTTTACCAAACCAAACACAAATTTTAATCCTAATTCCCATTATCACATCACAATATCAAGTAATCNTTTTGTTTTAAAGTAATCGCAGCTTTTGTTTTCTTCTCTCTCTTCATCTTCCTCCTCTTTTTCTTCGATCTGTAAATCTCAGAATCAAACCCTAGCAACAAAAATGGATATCCTTTATGCCGTCGCCAGGCAAACTGACTTCTCCTTGAAGCTGGCCGAGCAATTCATGTCGACCGGAGACAACAAGAACGGCAACTTCGTGTTCTCGCCCTTACTCGTGCACATTGCTTTGAGCATGACCGCATTCGGGTCGAGCGGGCCGACCCGAAACCAGCTTCTGAGCTTTCTCCGGTCCAAGTCCATCAATGAACTTGAATTGCTACTTTCGCAGCTTTTTACCCCGATGTTGAATGATAAAGGATCTTTGTGCGGTCCCCGTTTGTCGTTGGCCAACGGCGTTTGGGTCGACCGGAGACATACCTTGAAGCCGGCTTTCAAAGAATTCGTTGTGGAATCTTGTAAGGCTACACTAAAAAGTGTTGATTTTCAGGCTAAGGTTAGTTTACATCGACGATTGATCCCTAAGTTCAATTTTTTATTCTTTTCACCAGTAAATTGTCTTTAGTTCATTTGTGTTGTGAAACGGGAACAATACGAATTAAAGACAGACGAGAAATTAAAAGACACAAGATTTACGTGGTTCGATCTTATTATTCACTCGCTCCGCTCCGCTCGCAGGCATCGGCCTGCCTCCTTCCTTTGTCAATATATGAGCCATATCAACAATTTGGTTGTATGTTTGAGTTATACATGTTTTATGCTCAGTCTTTTAGTTATATATTGAGCACTCATAGTCATAAGTTCCAATTTTCTTTATCCCATACACACGACTTTGGTTCATTTGGTTATGTCTTGAGTCATACATGTTCTGTGTTCAGTCTTTTGGATTACACCAATCATATGTATACATTGATCACTCATAAGTTACAATTTTATTTTATTTTATTTTATTTTTTCTATTTCCCATGTAAATGTCTTTAATTCATCTGGTTGTTTTTGTTATAAAGGCTTGTGTCCAGCTTTTGGATTACAGACAAATCATAATCTAGCAATCTTTCAAAGCTTTTTATCTGGACAATATATGTATATTTATACCTATAGGCCAATGAGGTAGAAAAGGAAGCAAATGCATGGGTAGAGGAGAAAACAAATGGCCTAATCGAACAAATACTACCACCCTGCTCGATTGACTATCGTATGAAGCTTATCCTTGCCAATGCACTCTACTTCAAAGGAACCTGGGTCAACCCATTCCACGAAATGATGACGAGTGACCGTGAGTTTTTCCTTATGGACGGTAGCTCTGTTCTTGTGCCCTTCATGACAAACCAAAAGTCCCAATACTATCGTGCATTTGACGACTTCAAAGTCCTAAGGCTTCCATACAAAAACGGGGGTGATAGAGCAAAAGTTCTCGATGTACTTTTTCCTTCCGGAAGCCCGAGACGGCCTCCCGTCTCTAGTTGACAAGGTGGGTTCGGCTTCCGGGTTCGTAGAGCGCCACTCCCCTTACGAAGTGGAGTATCTAGATAGTTTTTTCATCCCAAAGTTCAAAATAAGTTCGGCTTTCGAGGCTTCTAAGGTTCTCAAGGAGAAGGGATTGGTTCTTCCTTTCTCGCCAGGTGGATTGACCGAGATGGTTCGTGAGTTGAGTGAAGGAGAGGAACTTTACGTGAAGGGATTGTTTTGTAAGTCGTGCATCGAGGTGGACGAGTATGGGACGGAAGCTGCTGGTGCTTGTGTTGTTTCTTTGCGTGGGGGTGGGGGTGATTTTTATTATGAGAGATTGGAATTTGTGGCTGACCATCCTTTCATGTTTGTGGTGAGGGAAGATGTGAGTGGTGTGGTGTTGTTTGCTGGCCAAGTGCTTAATCCCCTCTCTTCTACTTAGTGGTGCATTGTGTGAAGATGATGATGATCATGCAATTTCATCACAATTACTATATATGTATTGCTATGCTTGGATATAAGATATAACTTAATCCCCTCTCTACTACTTAGTGCATGATATGAAGATGATCATGCAATTTTCACAATTTTCATGTGCTATGCTTAAGACTTGAAAATGAAATAAAATGTCAATATATTATTATTAATATTATTGTTGTTGTTGTACTTGTTTTTAATCCACCTATTTTTATGAGAGCTAGCTAGGTGTTAATTACGATCTCGGCCCATTCGTTCGACATAAGGGATGGGACGTCTTGTTCATATTATTCGCATTTCCTTTTTTGGGTCTTCGAAGGGATTCGAAACATATGGGCCTTAGGCCTAGATGTCGGCCCCTTGTCGACTCACGGAACCCTAGTGTTGATTTGGGAATAGATTGTTGGTGTCGATCTACGGACGGATCCAAGTGAAAAAACAAACCGTCCAATGAACAGTGGACGTCCATCCTCAAAAGCATAACAGCCGTACGTGTGTCCCCGCGATGTGACCATAAGTTACGCTCTTAGATGGCATGATCATTTTTGTGCCATCATGACATTCTTGTATAGGATTGTACAAATATGCCGAATTGTACCCCACGGTGGACCGTGAAGCTTTCGACATTCAAGAATGACACACTTATAGCATTTTAAGTACATCATTTTCACCGCCAATCTTATCGCTTTGATGATGGTATTGTTCAGAATCTATAAAATCGATATGTTTAGATTTATGATGGGATGACGTAAATTGATATTTTCTACCCAATTTCAAATGTTATGTTGTTAATTTGTTAGTTTAAAATAAAGTCTTAAAAAAATTCAAAATATTAACTCCTCTGTGCATCACACGGGACATGCACAATTTAGAAATCAATGACAAATATAAACCTTAAGTCAATCATTCATATACCATAAAAGTTGGTGTAACTATAATTAAAATAAAAACTTAACAAATGTGTAAATAAAATGATATCTGAATGTAATGTTTAATTTTCTCTTTAAGATTAATTGAATACTAGTAGAGGCCAATAATTAGGCCGCTCTTCAATCTTCCATTGCCAACAGTTTTAGCCCAATCCACAAAAAAACCATGCATGCTCTTCGTGATCTCGACACTTATACTCTCCACTTTGATTGATCAAATTATTAATATCACCAAATTGATTTCTTAGAATTTAAATCATATTTTCAACTTCTGACCCTGTCTCTTCCTTATCACCAAAAAAATATTACATATTATAAAATGATAATTTCTTTTCAGTCAAAACCTATAAGTATAAATATCAACACTTATGCAGTCACATTCCACACATTTTCTCAACTGAATTCTCACTTACTAGCAACAACAATGGATATCCTTCATGCCATCACCAAGCAAACCGACTTCTCTTTGAAGCTGGCCGAGCAATTCATGTCCACCGATGAAAACAAGAACCGCAACTTCGTGTTCTCGCCCTTACTCGTGCACGTTGGTTTGAGCATGACCTCATTCGGGTCGGGTGGGCCGACCCGAAACCAGCTTCTGGGCTTTCTGGGATCCAAGTCCATTAATGAACTTGAATTGCTACTTTCGCAGCTTTTTACCCCGATGTTGGACGACAGGGAGGCGTTGGGTGGGCCCCATTTGTCATTGGCCAACGGGGTTTGGGTCGACCAGAGTCTAACATTGAAGCCCACTTTCGAAAAATTCGTCGTGGAATCTTGTAAGGCTACTCTTAAAAGTGTTGATTTTCAGTCTCAGGTTAGTTTACATTGATCACTAAGTTCAATTTTTTATTTTTATTTTTTTTATTTCCCATGTAATAAATGTTCTTCAGTTCATTTTGTTATGTCTTGAGTTATAAATGTTGTGTTCAGTCTTTTGAATTACACCAATCATGCATAAGTTCCAATTTTTTTTTTTTTTTATTTTTCTTATTTCCATTTCCCCTGTAAATTTCTTTTAATTCATTTGGTTGTTTAAGTTATAAGGTTTTGTGTCCACTCTTTAATTTGGATAGCACCAATCACATGACTGTCTTGCTAGCGATCTTTCAAAATTTTTGATCTGGACAATATGTATATTGTTTTACGTAGGCCGATGAGGTAGAAGAGAGAGTGAAGCATGGGCCAAGGAGAAAACAAATGGCCTAATCAAACAAGTACTACCACCCAGTTCGACTAATAATCTTACGAGGCTTATCCTTGCCAATGCACTCTACTTCAAAGGAACCTGGAACAATTACTTCCATAAACAACTAACGAGAGACCGTGAGTTTTTCCTTTCGAACGGTAGCTCTGTTCGCGCGCCTTTCATGACGGCCCACGGGTTCCAATACTGTCGTGCATTTGAGGGCTTCAAAGTCCTAAGGCTTCCATACAAAAACGGCCGTGATAGTGAGCACAAGTTCTCGATGTACTTGTTTCTTCCGGAAGCCAGGGACGGCCTCCCGTCTCTAGTTGGCAAGTTGGGGTCGATTTCCGGTTTCATACAGTGCCACGTCCCTTACGAACGGGTGCTTCTAAGAGAATTTTTCATTCCAAAGTTTAAAATAAGTTCGGGTTTTGAAGCGACTGAGGTTCTCAAGGAGCATGGATTGGCTCTTCCGTTTTTGCCAGGTGGCATGACCGAGATGGTTCGGGAGTCGGGTGCCGGGAAGGAACTTTTTGTGACGGGCGTGTTTCAGAAGTCGTGCATTGACGTGGACGAGCATGGGACCGAGGCTGCTAGTGCTTGTGCTGTTATGTTTGGGGGTGGCCGTGGACCTTATGAACCAAAAATTGAGTTTGTGGCTGACCATCCTTTCATGTTTCTGTTGAGGGAAGATGTGAGTGGTGTGGTTTTGTTTGTTGGCCATGTGCTCAATCCCCTCTCTACTACTTAGTAGTGCATTGTGTGATGATGATGATCATGCAATTTTATAATTTCCTTATGCTATGCTTAAGACTTGAAAATTAAATAAAATGTCAATTTATTTTTAGTTTAGTTCTATTGTTGTTTTTTTAATTTTCTCCGCACGTCTTTTAGAAATACGTTTTAAGTTTATTAAATTAAGTTAAATCACGTAATTAATTTAATTGACTGTAAAACGTATTCTCAGAATACGTGTTTTTTATTTTTGTCCACATATATTTTTTCTTTGTCTAACTTAATTTTTTTTTGTTCGGGTAAAAAATCCTATTGGTTTTAATGGTTACATAAAGAAGAATAAAAAGAAAGAGGGTAATAACTAATAAATTCGATCATTATAAGTTATTTATATGCATATAATATTAAAATTATAAATTAGATAATGATATTATATTTTAAACATAGGGTATTATAAGTTATATTTATGCATATAATATTAAAATTATAAGTTAGATAAAAATATTATATTTTAAAATTTGATCATTGGTTTAGTACATAACGATTTGATTGTATATGAATCACTATATTGATTGCATAAAATAAAATAAATAATTTATTTTTTGAAATTTTAAGGGACTATGACTAATTAATTAGTTAAAAAATATTAAATTTATTATAACAATTGTTTATGTGATTTTAAGGAATTTTACTATGCCATTAAAAAAAATTAATTTATTTAAAAAGTAATCGCTTAAGCAGATAAAGAAATATTATATTGATTTTATAATAAATTACTCGAACAAAATTTTTTTACAATATAGTTTCTTATGTTTATGTAACTTTCACATATCATTTAGTTTAAAACATAATTATTAATTGCAATGATAACTATTATATGATAAAATTTCCAGAGCTGGTGAAATTATTTTGTATTGTTTTAGTGTATTTGTCCATGTTGTACATGTGCTGTATTTTCCATTTTCACCATGATTAATTATTGTAGTGATATCATAAAATCAAGGGATAATTTTTTTTAACCTCCCAAAGTATGCGTTTTTTTTTACTTTGCCATATAAAGTATTTTTTTTGACAAATTACCTCCCAATCTAATCGAAACTAACACATTACCTCCTAACACACGATTCCGGCCATTCTTTGCACCGGAGAAAGCACGTGCGCGGCACATGTGAGGGTAGAATCGTCCCTTCACGTAATGTTATAATACAAAATCCTAAAATCTGATGAAATCGACCCAATCCTTCTTCATTTCTTCTCTTTCAAAATCGACCCAAATCTGAGAATGTGGAGGCAAACCTCTGAATTAATTGTTGACGATTTCTGCAATTGTGGTCACGCCGCTGTGAAGAAGACCTGTTGGACTGACCCTAACGCGGGCCGAAGGTACTCGGCATGTGCAAAACATCGGGTAAGAGATTTTTTTGGTTTCAAAATTCCGAATTGGTTCTCAAAATTATTGCTTTGGTTGAATTTTTCATTCAATGGGCAATTAGGGCAAAAAATTGCCCTAATTAGGGTTCTTTTACTTTGATTTACAATTAAGGCAAAAATTAGGGTTCTTTTAATTTGATTTTCAAAATCGATTTTTTTTTTATTTTGTGAATTTACAATTAGGGCAAAAATTAGGGTTCTTACAATTAGGGTTCCCAAAATTAGGGCTCTAAAAATTAGGGAATTTACAATTAGGGCTCTAAAATTATGACTTTATTTGAATTTTNATATTTCATTTGGATTGATCCACCAATGTGCATGAGGTCTCGACAAGTAATACCCGGGTTGCGCAAAAGAGTGGATCGTCTTGAGGCTGAAATAAGACGCAAGAATATTAGGGAGAAAATGTTGTTGTTTGTTTTACTTGTATCTTGGATTGTGGTGTACTTGAGCAAGTAATGGCTTATGTAAGACTAAACGAATGCTTGTTTCTTTTGATGGTTGAATGAATGGATTGTGGTGTTTCTTTTCATGGTTGATTGAATGCTACTAACAAACAATTCCATCCAATGTATTGAGATGTATATTTTAAGTTATTGAAGTTCAACTGCATACACAAATAAGTGCAAACACAACATAACATTCTTCTTCATTACTTAACCAAAAGATGTTCACCAAAAGATGTTCATGTTCATACAAAAACATCCAATCATCATCCTCTACCACAAAAACATCTTGCTTCCACAAAACATCTTACTTAACAGAAACAAGACAACATCATCCTAATACATTCATATCCATTGTTCATAAATCCAATCATCAGCTACCACAAAAAAAAATTCATTGTTCATTACATTCATTCCACAAAACATGACCTAAAGTCACATTGGCCTACAATTGGGTGGTCCACCTTGTGACCTGAAGACATCATTTTCTTTGGATGAGTAACAGTAAGCACTCTTTGTTGCTGGGAACTCCCTGTCAGAATCTGCAATTGGAGTGGGATTAATGGGAAGATCCTGACTTTGGTCTACTTGTAGTCTTTTTCCCTTGTCAACTTTTGAAGTTTGTGACTGTTGGGTGCCAATATCATTGGGCTGACTAGATGATGGCCTTTTGGAAACCTAATTTTAATTCAAAACACTAATATGAGACAAAGAGTAGACACTCTTATGAATTATTAAGCATATGAAGTAATGTTGTTTTACCTTCAATTTTCTTGAGACACCTAGTGTTTTTCCCTTTCTTTCCACAGTAGGAGGCTTCTGAACATCTACTTGGGAAAACAATCTTTTCTTGGCCTGGAAAATAACTCTGCTCAATTAAAGAAAAAACTACTTATATGCAATTAAACAGCCAACAAAATAAAACATGTACCTGTGTAGCAGCATTTGCATAACTATCACTGAAGGAGCACTTATGTAGCCTTGGACTCCTTCTTGGCTAGTTATTGTGACAATAATATTAGTATCATTAGTCTCAGTGTGAAATTCTAGTAATGGTATACCATACTATAATGAGTGGACAAAATCAATACATACCTGAAGAGGATCTTCTTGTTCTTTTGAGTTGGACTTCTGTATCCTTGGACTTCTTCTTGGTTGGTTTTCCTAGTAATTAGGTTAGTAGCATCCATTGATAAGATTTTTCAAAAAATGAGCACTGAAAAATGAATAAAGTAAAAAAAACCTGAGTAGGATCATCTTTATGTTGTTCGGTTGGGTTAGATTGTTGCCTCCTTGTACTTCTTCTTGGCTGAGTAATAAAAGTAATGGTCAATAATTGATCTACATAAAAAATAATGAAAAAAAATGAAGTAATACCTGTGGACCAACATGGACAGGCTGTTCACTGGACCCCACAACATGGACAGGCTGTTCACTGGACCCCACAACATGGACAGGCTCTTCACTGACCCCCATATCTTCTTCATTGGGCTGTTCAGTCTCACCCTTCTCTTTATTCAAGTGGCATCCTCTGATATTGTGATTTTGTCCCCCACAACCACTGCAAGTCATAGTGGCTCATTTTTTCCTCAATTTTACCCCTTTTTTGGAAGCCTTGGAATTTGTCTTCCCCTTCAGTTCACCCTCTTCTTTCTTCCTAGCATATTTGTTTGGTCTACCAGGCATCTTTTGGCAAACTGGGGGGATAATTGGAATAGCATTTGACTTAGGCCACATCTCAGGGCTCTCTATTGCATGCATCATATGAGAATAAGTTTTGAGGAAAGTGTCCTTCTTGTAGCATGAATCAACATAGTCCTCTGGTTTTTTCCCTAAATAATACATGGCACATATAGAATGTGGACATGGTATTCCATTCAGCTCCAATCTCCTGCAGCTGCATGTTTTGTGACCCAAATGCACCTTGTACTTGGAACCAAAACCTCCTTCGATTTCAAACTCATCCGCACCATTCCAGTGTGCAATGAAGTCCAATGCTTTTTTCTTGTTCACCTCTAGAAGCTTAACAATCTTAGGACATAAATCCCCTGACCATTTCAACATCAAATCTCTTCTCACATGCAACCTCTTCATCAACATCAACCTAATCATCTCCAGCATGATAATGATGGGTCTAAATCGAGCCTTCAATATCATTGAGTTGAAACACTCTGACATGTTGTTTAACAACACATCACACTTGGGGTTTGTGCTGAAATGAGACTTTGTCCACTGAGAAGGTGGTCTTGCAGCCAACCAAGCATGGGCCTTGACATCTCTCTGTTTCATCTCCTCCATGGCTCTTTGAAAATCAACCACCCTTGTAGCACTTGCAGCCCTCCAGAATGTGTTTTTTAGAGCCAAACCCTTGTATTGCAAGTTAAAGTTTTTGTACAAATGCATCACACAAAACCTATGTTCACTATCAGGAAGAACATGTTCAATAGCATCTATCAAACCTTTCTGTTTGTCTGACATGACAGTCCACATGTAAGAGTTTGTGATCTCTAAATCCTGCACTAAAAGTTGAAGAAACCACAACCATGACTTGAACTTTTCTTTCTCAACAACTGCATAAGCAAAAGGATAAACTCCATTGTTGCCATCTATCCCAACAGCTGTTAGAAGGACACCACCAAATGTGGTTTTAAGGTGACATCCATCCAGAAAAATCAAAGGCCTGCAGCCTGACAAATACCCTGATTTCAAAGCCCCCCAACAGACATAAAATCTCTTAAACATTGGTTTCTCATCAACTACCTTACACTTGATCCTAACAGAAGTTCCTGGGTTAGTTTTTTTAAGTTCTTCTGCATAGTTCCACAACATTGCAAACTGATCTTCATCAATGTTCTCACCCCCTTTCAAAACCATTCTTTTGGCCCTATACAACTGTTGTGCATTAAAACACAACTTCAAGTCAACCTGTAAACTTTTCATCATTGCATCAATTGGCCATCTGGGATCATTCCAAATTTTATCTCTATACAACTCAGCCACATACTTAGAATTTGCATGTGAAACCTTTTGGACCCTAGGACATTTATGCTTCTCTGACAAGGTTTTAATTTGAACTGAGGTTTCATTTTTTCCTTTAGAAGCATAAACTAACCAGGGACAAGACTTATGTTTGCATTTCACTTGCACTTTATTCTTATCATTGATGTTGAAATATATATCTTTCCCAAGAACAATGGCATGCTGCCTTACAGCCTTTCTAAACTGTTCACAATCAGTAAAATGCATGCCCAACTCAAACTTAGGGTTCTCCATATCTTTCAAAGGATTGAATACACTGTTACCTTTGTGAAGATATGTAGTGCTCCCAACAGTAGGTTTGAAAATACCAAAAGAGGAAGAAACATTGGAGTCACACTTTCCCCCACCCCCTCCCCATTCAACATCTTTATCAACATTCAATTCATACAAATCATCATCATCCTCAGAAAGTTCACAATCACTATCAACAAACTTTTCAGAAATTTCAGAATCTGAACCTGCAGATTGTTCATCATCACTATCATCCCACTCTGAGCATAAATCATTTAATTCTTCAACATAATCATCATTACCCTCATTCTCACCAACAAACTGCAAAGGTTCATCTACAGATGGAAGTTCTGAGGCTTGACTTTGTAAATGGTGATTTTTAATGAATTCATCAGGATCTTTCACTTTTTCATGCTCCACAAAAATTCCCACAAGTCTGTTTTGATCAATGCAATTCACCATTTTAACTACATCATTATCACTTTCCAAGGTCATAATATTGGTGCAATCATTAACCTCTCTTGTTGTACAATGAAAAGCAACAATCTCTTTCATTATCCCTATTTCTTTAGCCATAAGTTCTAACTCAAGTAGGGATAATTCATCACAGTTACAATAATCTACATGCGCCACTTTAGGATCATAATAGCAGTTTATTCCCATATCCAACATCCATCCAGAATGATAAAATCTGATTGTAAACAAGCTTTCATCATCACCTGATTTCAACATTCATTGAAAAAAACACACAAAAAAGAGAAAAAAATTCAAATTCAGCAAGAACAATAACCTTAATTCAAACCCTAGATTTTAAATTCTGCAAAAACACAACACAATAAACAATAAACAAACAATGGGGGGACAATTAATAAATAATGGTACCAAATTAACTTTAACTCTGGGACAAAGGATCCAAATGGAAGCTTACCGTAATTGGACATTCTTTCCCCGGTGGAACAGACTGGTCCCCATCTCTCCGCACCTTCCAAACCATGACCGGTCACCGAAGAATCTTTGATACAGAAGACTATTTGCCTCGTGAATCTTAATCAAATGAACAAATCTCAGAAAATGTTTGAAAGTGAAAAGGGGAAAAAATTTTATGCGATTAGGGTTAAAACGAGGGAAAATTGGGTCGATTTCATCAGATTTTAGGATTTTGTATTATAACATTACGTGAAGGGACGATTCTACCCTCACATGTGCCGCGCACGTGCTTTCTCCGGTGCAAAGAATGGCCGGAATCGTGTGTTAGGAGGTAATGTGTTAGTTTCGATTAGATTGGGAGGTAATTTGTCAAAAAAAATACTTTATATGGCAAAGTCAAAAAAAACGCATACTTTGGGAGGTTAAAAAAAATTATCCCTAAAATCAATAGATATTCCAAATAAACATTTATAAAAAGTTTTTTTAAAAATTTATATTATGAATACATGCTTATGTAATCATGAGTTTCTATAATAAATACTTCGTAATTAAGTTAGCATAGTAATGATTATATAAGAAATTAAAAAAGTAAACACTTTTAGCTAATTAACCTAAATTGATATAGTTAGATAAAATAGTGGTCATTAGTTTAGATTTTGTAACTGTCCAAAATTGATGTATTTTGTAAAAGTAACGGTTTTTGTATTTGAAAAGTTTGTATTATTTATTAGGTAAAATTTATTAGATTTTATTTATAAGGTAAAATTAAATGAAATGCTAGCAATTATATATATATATATAGATAAACAAAGAAGAAGAAGAATAAGAAGGGGGGCGCGAGTAAGAAAAAGCCTGAAGAGAATTACGAGAGGAAAAAACAATGAAGTCGTTTTTGTTTGTTTAAAATCTTGAATTCATGTAACTTCCATCTTTAAAAGGAAATAATATTTATTTTTGAGATCTTTGTTTCTTGTGATTTTTTATATTTGGAAGAGGTTGAATAGTTTTGGAATTCTAAACTCTCTTGCAACTTTTAATGAATCTTTTTTCCTAAACTTGTCTGTTATGTATTTACGCCCAAACAGCCACAAATAAGTAAATATAATCGGCCCTTTTTTT